TGCTGCCCAGATATATAAAGGTTCTTACATCTTCCAAATCTTCGTCAAGTGTGATTTGATTGGTGCATGCTGTGTTGTATCGGAGAACCTTGCTTTTCCCTTTGTGTATCCTGAGACCTATTGCTGCTGAAGCTGCCGCTACACTGGTCGTTTTCTTCTTCATCTGTTGTTGCGTGTGCGATAGAAAAGCCAGATCGCCTGCGAAGTCTAGATCGTCTAGTTGCTTCCTAGCTGTCCACTGTATCCGATGCCTCCCCCAGATGTTGACGTTTTCATAATACAGTCGATCATGAGGAGAAAGTGAGAGGGTGGGAGTAAACAAGCTTGCCTGACACCGGTCTTTACTTCGAACGAGTCTGCGAGCTGTCCTCCATGGGTGATTTCACAGTTCATTCCACCATAATAATTCCGTATGATGTTGGTTATTTTCTCAGGCACACCGTAGTGTCGAAGAGGCCCCCATAGTGTTTTTCTGTCCACACTATCAAATACTTTCTCGTAGTCAATGAAGTTGATGTAGAGTGATGAATTACATTCAATTGATTGTTCCACAATGATTCGTAGTGTTGTGATCTGGCAGGTACATGACCGATCCTTACGGATCCAGTATGTTGGTCTCGAAGTTGGGCATCTACGGGGTCTTTCATTCTGTTAAACAACACCCTATTGAAGAACTTTTCCTGATATTGAGAGAAGAGTGATGCGTCTGTAATTATCACACTTGTTGAGATCACCTTTCTTTGGTATCTTGATGATGTGTCCTTCTTTCCAGTCTGTTGGTAATCGTTCCTCATCCCAAATCTTACTGAAGAGAATGTGGAGTATCTTTGCAGTTATTACTTCTGCTTTAAGTGCCTCTTCTGGAATGTTATCTGGTCCCCTTGCTTTGCCACTCTTGATTTGTCCGATGGCCATGCTGATCTCTTCACTTGTTGGTGGGCCAACATGTATTTGGAGGCCCGTGGGTGCTGCTTCGATGTTGGGTGGGTTCAGTGAGGCTGGTCGATTAAAGAGTTCTTTGAAGTGCTCTACCCACCTGTTTTGTTGCTCTTCAATGTTGGTGATTACTTCGCTTTCCTTGCTTTTCACTGATCGTTCTGGTTTACGATAATTGCCAGCGAGGTTATTTGTTGTGTCATACAATTGTCTCATATTTCCTTCTCTTGCAGCCTTTTCTATCATCATTGCTAGACGTTCCACATATTTATATTTTTTCAGTTCTGATGCTCCTCTTCACTTGCTTGTTTACCTCTGTGTATTCAGCTTGTGCCTTGGTTTTCTCTGCTCTTGTCGGTTGGTATTGATTGCTGCCTTCTTGTTCTTCCTTACTTGAATCTAATCCAGTCTATGAACAGTGATTCATTCCTTGTGATGGCGCTTCTTGTGACACAGGACCTTATGACATGTTGAAGTGATTGCCTCTTTTATCCCCTTCCAGTTGCTCTCCACAGTAGTTCCTTCTCCATTGAGTAGATCATGAATGGCCTGGAACTTGTTGCTGAGGCCTATCTTGAATTTGTTGAGTTTGTTAGTATCCTGAAGAAAGGCCGTATTGAACTTTTGTGATATTGTCCGCCCCATTTTCCAGTGCTTCTTGAGTTTCAATTTCATCTTGGCGACCAGCAAGTGATGATCTGATGCTATATCGGCTCCTCTCTTGGTTCTCACGTCCTCTATAGTCCTCCTGAACGTTTTGTTGATGCAAATATGGTCGATTTGGTTTTGCGTGGTGTGATCCGGTGTAGTCCATGTGGTTTTGTGAATGCGTTTATGTAGGAATATGGTGCCACCCATGCCCAGTTTATTGAAGGCACATAGGTTTGCAAATCTCACTATTTCGTCCCTTTCTCCCAGCCTGCGTCGTCCCATGATGTCTTCATATCCTGTGTTGTCCATTCCAACCTTGGCTTGCAAGTCTCCCATCAGAATGGTCAAGTCTTTTGTTGGGCATTTCTCGACGATTGACTGTAGCCTATCGTAGAATTGATATTTAGCGTCTTCATTGAAGTCGTTGGTAGGCGCATAGCATTGGATGATGTTCATTGAAATGCCTTCTTTCTTTGTTTTAAAGGAGGCTTTGATGATCCTTGGTCCATTAGAGTTCCATCCAATTAGTGCATTTTGTGCTTGTTTGGGCAGCATCAATGCAACTCCTTGTGTATGTGGGGCATTTTCTTCTTCATGGCCGGAGTATAACAGAAGCTCCCCTGAAGCTAATCGTTGTTGTCCAACTTGTGTCCAATGTGCTTCACTGATCCCAATCACCTCTAGGTTGTATCTCCTCATTTCTGCAGCAATTTGGAAGACTCTTGGTTTCCCTCACTGTACGAGCATTTCATTTACCTAAATTAATGGTTGCTGTGGTTGTTAGAATGGGCACTAACCTCGTGACTTCCGAAGGAGCTTGGCTTTCACCATGAGGCGTCATGACTTCTAAATGAATACCTACTAACTCACAGGGCAAAGTTTAAATAGTTTGAATTATTTTTTCTGGTTAGCATTTTTTAGTGAGTTAGTTTTCTAAGGGATGGGGTAGCTAACCCCATGCCAAACCCTCCTCCTTTATCCGGGCTTGGTGCCGGCAATATCCCCAGAGGGGATCCAGGCAGAGTTCTGTAGCGGTAAATAAATCCTCAAAATAAATAGCTCTGTAAGTTTTCGACATTGGATGCTGACCACATGTTTTAATGGACTCACCTATCTGAAGGCGCTCGGTCATGTATCCGTACCAGATCACTAGTGGGAACACCGTGTTTAACAACTGCAATTGCTAGCCAGATTAGATCCGACGATCCTCGATAAATTGATAGCATATCAAATATATCTTCGAACTTCCTCGCTTCCGTCTTTTGATTTCACTTGGTGGGTACGCTTCATATAAGGTGTTACTGGTCAACCTCAATGTATTACTACTCACTCATTCGCCAATAAATTTGACAATGTTAGGTTCGTTAAGCTTAAAACAATTTGAAGTTTTGTCTGTAATTCAATGTCTCAACATTAAAGATATTAGGCGTCTAATAAACATTCAACAGACGTAAACAAATTCAGAATATTCTTCTTGATATTCTTATTCATTTTGGTAATTTTATCTCGTCTTGCTACTGTGTTATAACTTTGGATAACACACATTTGTTCCATTCGTCGATAATGAACTGACTGACTATTCTTCTTTAGTGGTTGTTTTTTTTAAAATTGATTTTCAAATGGGACAGATAAACTGGAAATCTTTTCTTTAAAAAAGTTATTATTGTGTACTTGTGAAACACATGAAAGTGAAATTGCTCGTAAACGTTAGCTTCTGAATACTTTTAATTATTGAAATCTTAACTACAGATCGCAGACAGCAAACTAATTCCAGACTTAGATGTAGCTGTATCAATCAGATGTTTACTCTTAGTCAAATTTTTGAATGCAGATGTGTTAATCTACGCTCAATCATAGTTATATTTCTTAACCTTTAGATAGAATTTAATTGCATTACTGGACAGTTTTTATGCTAGTGTTTGTTATAAAGTGGTATGATGGAGAAGCTCCATATTCTACGTTACTATTAATTGACTGAGCTTCTACTGGTATGTAAGCATCCTGATAGGATTGCCGGTATGATTTCCATTAAGTCACGAATTGTTAGTAAAGTTTAGTTATGACTGGTAGTATTGAGATAATTCGCTCAGAATGTGTATATGCCAGTAGAATGATTAATTGTAGTTACCCATACCAACAACGGAGAAATAAAAGCCTTTATAAATAACTTCATACCTGTTAGAAGAGTTAGTGACCATTTGAAGACAACAGTTTAGTCGACAGTGCATTGAAGTTTGAAGCTTTGAGTTTCCTCGTGAATATCAACAGTGGGATGAATAAAGATCTCGTTGACGAGTCCCAAATACGATGAGAAACGTGCTCTGAATCCAACTTTACTGAGTACACAATATTTCAAAAGAAAACCAGTAAATTTTATTAACGAAAACATGCTAAAGGAAAATAAGTAAACTCAACTAAATAATATTTAATTTCTGTGCTGTAATTTGTTTGTTTGTTTAAATGTGTCTATATTTAATTTAAATTTAAAGTTGAAGACAAAAATAAAAACAGCATATGTAGAGAGATAGGGTTTTCAGAATATTTCTACTGTATACGAACGAAAAATAGTGGATAATGAAGAAGTGAAACTGAAAAACCGAAAGAAAACAAGGAATAAACATTCACAAAGAGTTTATTACAGTTGATGAATGAATAACTAATTCATAGTAGTTGAAAGAAAGGCAGTGGTAGTAGTAGTAGTACCATTGAAATATGTGTTTAGTTTGTGTGTGTGTGTGTAATAAACGAAAATGCAAAATTACTTCATCAGAACAAAAGAGCTGGAAAATCAACGTTGTATATAACTCTATTCTATTGATTTTCCATATTTCTTCTTATTTTCTAATCTAGTCTCTTTTGTGAACTTGTTTGTTTGTTGTTTTACTGTTCAATTCTTTCTATTTCCACTAAAGCAAATAAAAAAAACAAGAAGAAATTGGCTAAGTTACAAGATGGATAGTTTAACTGATTCGAAAATGAAGCAATAAAGAAGGGTTGAAGAGGGAGAACAAAAAGACTAAGTGGATGAAAAGTAAAACCATTGTGTGAGAGTATTATTCTAAGGAATTAGTTAGTATGTAAGAATATCTTTAAAAAGAAAAAAAGTGGTAAGGTACAGAACTGCACATTATCATACATCAAAACATTCGATTTGTCAATTGAGCTAGTATATTCAACAGATGCAAACTAAGTCAAAAGAATGAGTAGTAATGGTTGGTTGTACTACTTAATGGTTCTAAAACAACTTTAGTTCTGATAAAATCATATGAAATCTCTTTAGTATAAAAATGAGGATAAAATAACATTTTAATGACCATGAGTTTCTTCATGTGAATCATCCTCTTCAGCATCATGATCACCATCATCATCTTCAACACCAAAGATGTTTTCGATTTGTTTTAATATAGATAAAACTATAGACCTAGTTTTCGTCATAGGTTTGCCATCATCTGCTTCATCGACGTCATCTTCGTCTTCATTATCATCTTCATCATCATTGTCACTATTGATACCACTGTCTTTCATTTTAGATAGTTTCTTTTTGTCATAATCATCATCAGTTTTTTCACTGTCTTCATTATCATAATCTTCCATGGTCTTTTTAGGTAGTGATTTGCTTTTTGAATGTCCTGGTAGTTGAGGTTTAGGTGAAGGGGAATGCACCATCGTTTTGGTTTCTTTATCTAGAATGAATAAATAAACAAGAACCTTGATTACATACGAAACTGACTTGTCAGGTGACGCTCAGTTGTGGTTGGCTAATGAGAAAAGATAGAAATATGTAGATTATTTTTTATTTGTATAAGGTTGATTTCTATTCAGACTCCACTATATGTTGACTGTTTGTGATTTGTATCAGTAATTTATGGTCTAATTTAATTTAGTTCTCAATTTTGCTTCGAATTTCGTATATCTATGTATACATTGTCTATCATTTAGTGTATTGATCAAGTACTTGGTCTAGTATTGAGTCTAATTGTCTAATGGTTAATTCCTAATGATAATACTGGTTATACTAGCCCATATCTGGTATTTAGTGTCCTAGTGGTAGGATTGCAAGACTAAAATCCTATTGTTATCGCTAAATAAAAAATGAATTGAGTAATTTATACGAATCTTCGTCAGTGTTAGAACGAATAGTTTGACAAGAATTGGGTGCCGAGTATATAGTTTGCACTAATCTAACTCCTGTAACTCTGTCGTTTAAGTCACTAATAGATGTCACTGTTGTTTCCACAGCTGATTCTATGCCTTTCCAAGCAACATCTGGGTCAGCCTCGTCTTCAGAACTACCTAAGTGTGATCTCAGTTGTTCCTGGAACCTACTCTTGGTTTTCTCGTTACTCAATTCAGTTCTAACGGGTCTTTTTAATGTGACTTTTTTGTGTCCAGTTAGGCGCAAGCAGATGAGTGCCCGTATTAGGGCGTGGTCGGAGTCCAAACAGGTACTCCAGAATGAGCGACAATCTTGTACCGACCCTCTCCAACGATGACTGATGGCAATATGGTCTATTTGAGTCCATCGTTGGTTTGGTGTAGGGGGTCGCCATGTTAGACGATGTCTCTCCTTATGCTTAAAATTTGTGTTTGCTAAAAATAAACGATTGTCTGAGCATAGTTGTAGCAGACGATCACCATTATCTGTTCGCTGTGCCGGAATACTAAAATATCCACCTAAATGCCTTTCTGTTTGGTTTAAACTACCTATCTGAGCATTAAAGTCACATGCTACGAGTACTATGTCTGAACGTTTAGCTTTCTGAAGAAGTTCAGACAGCTTTCTGTAAAATTCATCTTTAACTTCATCTGAGCTGCAGTCAGTGGGAGCGTAGGCAGAAACGACAAAAGTACAACGACGTGTGTCCCTATCCTTCCGAGTTCTTATGGAGCCGTTTAGCCGAACAGTACATAGACGACTGTTGACGGGGATCCATTCTAGCAGTGCTTGTTTGGGCCTCATACTTAGTGCTATGCCTACACCTGCCAGTCCACGAGAACTGGCCATCGGGTCGTCAGATACACCGAGGGTATCCGTGGGATAAGGCGAGGTGTGACATTTTTAGGGTCGACCTTTTCTTACCCCACCCCTCTTTATAGGAAGGCAGCATCGCTGTCATGCTGGTTGTCTGAAGGAAAAACCTTACTTCTGTCACACCTCTGTACAGTCAGCAGTACGACTTCGCCTTCGGACCTTGGGTTTGTTGCTTTTAGTTTTACCACTCTTCAACCGACCTGTCTGACATGGTAGGACCTTGAGGGACGGTTGTTCCAGCCAGTATAGCTCGGTTGCTTCATCACGATAGGCAAGGTCGACCACCACGTCAAGGTAGCAACAACAGTCGGGACCATATTAAATATATACACTTTAATATTTTATCATATTTTATGGCTGTTTTAATCAAGTAATCAACATAAATGTTGACAATAATGTTGAATAAATATCTCTCTACCCTTTAATACTAACCAAGACCAGTCGCAAGAAAAATGCTTTCATCAATACGATAAAGCATTTTTTTCTGCTATGTTGTTTATATCAATAAACGATGAATATAACCTAAATAGTATTCATATTAAAGGGAAATTTTATTTATTATTAATCATATTTTACAGCAAATGAATGGTAAGTGCTTGTTACTATGACTCGATTATTAAAAAAAATAATGGAATTTCGAATAGTTTTCATTACGTTCTCTAATATCACAGTAGCAAACATGAAAGATTGGAGATAGGGTCGTATGATTCTTTACAAAATTTGATCCACCGAATGACGCTGATTTATTTGGCAAACAAACTGAAAGAATTATTTATTTTAAATACTTTCATTAAAAGGAATCCCACTGACATTCACTCAGAACGTTAAACATTAATCTTATATCAGCCAGGTATCTTGATTGACTATCATCTATATGTTTTTATTCATTCATTTATAATTTAATCCCTTTTTATGACTTCATCTTCGACACATGAATACTAACCAGTCTTCACTATTATATCAAATATATTGTTGTTTTTGTTTCTAATCCCGCGAGCGGAATCGTGGATGTGTATCACGGCCGTCCAGTGCTTCCAGGTTTTCCATGGTGATCTAGCTTTAATCGACTCACGAATTCAACTATTAAATTACTACAATCTCCACAAAACCCCTTTCTAATAACTTTTTTCATTTATTATTTCGTCTCGAACTGAAGGTTATTGATCGCGGTATGCAAAACTTTATAATTATATCACCGATGTAAATTTAGGCCGTTTACAGATGATGAGAAGCATTGAAATATAATAAATTCGTGTTATTCTGCAAATCTTGTTCTTCTCGTTTAATTTGAATTGATCAAGCGACCAATATATCTAAAAGGTCATCTAGTGGTTTCAAAGAATGAGAATACTGTCTAAAACAAAACTCATGCGACTGAATACTTGAAGTCTATATGTGTCTTTTATCATGACACGTCGGCCAATGTATGTAGCACTTGGTACACAATCCATCAACTGTGGATACGTGATTTAAAGACTAGGCAGGTATATAGTTCATGTTAATGAAGTATTCACTACTTGTATGATAAATATTGTTCAATATTCGGCAATCTTCCTTGTTTTTAATAGAATACTGAGTCATGATGAAAATCATTTTGTAACAAGAGTTGTTAAACTTTGTTGAGTTGAACTGAATTTATGGACACTAAAGAAATTAAATTATTAGGGTATTTTGTTTACTATCTTCATGTTCTAACAATAAAGGTTTTCGGATTGATAAAAAGTTTCTTTTAAACAAGTTGAAACAGTTTGTCACTACAATATTAGTACAGTAACATATTAATTTACCGAAATATTGTTAAATTGTGTAGCTGAATATTGTAAACAAATAAAGCACAGAGTAAATATATTTATTTGGTTTTATCTGAAGAGGAAGCTTATTTATTTTAAAGTCATAACTAGAACACCACTTTTCTGAGGCTCTAAGAATTATAACACTTGAAGTGATGATTAAACATAATATTAAACCGAAGCACTAGTAAAATAAAACTCTTTTTTAACAGTAAAAAACGAATAACTGTCAATGAAATTAAATGATAGAAGTGATATTTCACAGATCATATAAAGTTAAAACGTAAACTGATGAACCCAGTGGATTAATAGTAATATATAAACTGTAAGTCCTGAAGGCAGTAGGTCAATGGATGTTAAGAGTACAGTGTCTTTCAGTTGTCATAAGCTCAATAAGACAACAATTAATTGGAGTTGCATTCCTTCTTTCTCTTCCCCGTAGTTATCTTAACCAAACCTTCATCATAATAACTAAAAAAGCCATAACTAATGAATTCAAGCTTTTACAGACTAAAGAAGGACTTACTTTTCTTGACAGTTTCTTTTGGATTAGTAGTTTTATGACGATTTCTGTCTTGCTTTTTATCGTCAATACTATCTCCATCGGAATCACTATCTAAGTAGTCTGGTATATTATCGTTATCGTCATCTGTATCAAGTAGATCAATGATTCCTAAGAAAAAAAGACAAATTTATATGACAAAATGAAAGTGGGATTTCACGAAATAATGGAAAATCAAAATAAGAAATGTTTATTGGTTCCAATTAATGTTTCTTCAAAGAATAAGATAGTTAAATTGGGAAGTGACTTCACGCAAGCTGACGAAAAATTTAGTAAGAATTTACTTTTACTCTGAGAACATGACTAGATAATCACTGAGCTGCTTCGTTTTATTACATTTTGACGTTAGTGATCTGATGAATAGAAACAAAAACTTTAGGGTCCCATATTGTATTTCGTCATATCGACACTGTCTAGTCCTTGGTTCTGGTTGAATCTTATTGATCAAGTTACAATGTGGTTACTTGTGTAAGAAACTCAAAATTACGTGCATTATATTTAGATGTTAGGTAGTCGACAGAAAATGCTGTATTTAGTTTTCGTGCTAGTTGGTGCTTGTACATAAGGTGTACCTGCAATATTTCTTGCACAGAGCAAAGTTCGCAAGATAAATAATTAAGCACTGGCTGAAAAGAGATAATAAAAATGAGAACACAGTGTTTGACCGACCCAGAACGAACTAAAAAGTAGGTAGAAAATTGGAATGCAATACTATACAGTACGGTTACATTATATGACTGAAGTTTACATGTCGATTCAACAATCTGACCAAGGATATTAAGGATACGATTCCTTGAACAATGTAAACTTAATCCAATTAATAAGGTTTAATTCACCATACATCACTTTCCAACCAGATTCAACTCACTTATTTGAGTGCATACAGAAGCAAAACTTTAGGTAAATTTCATTAAAATTGCATCATAAGTCTATATTCTGAAATGCTTCACCAAGATAAAGGATGTTTCATCTCTATAGTAACAGTGAACTGCCCGCATATCCGAAAACAGCTCTATGCCTTAGTAACAATAACTCGTAATCGAAAATTGACACGAAGTTCACTACATAAACCATAGATTGGTAGACTTGCTCTTAAAATAAACATAGATCTGGGTATTGAAGATAGTTTATAATCAGTTTCAAACTTGAAGGGGTACTTGCGACGTCTTAAAAGTTCACATTGCTCCAAAATATCTAAAACAGATTTGACCTAGAATTGTAAAATCATTTAAGCAGTATCGACTTTTGATCTTCCTATCGATTTTATATCCCTTCATATATACTTTTACACTCTGCTTAATCTTTTTTATTGTCATTTATTTATTCTGAGAACCACCAAGTTGTATCCCCTTATTTCCATAGCTATTTGATCGATCTCATGTACCGACATTAATTGTTGCTCTGGTTGTTATAAGTGGCATAGGTCTAGTAATTTCCGAATAATCTCGGCTTTCACCATGAGGCGTCATAGTTCTTCTGAATGAAGATTCTTCAACTCGGAGGGCAGAGTTCAAATAGTTTAATGTGTTTATTATGGTCAGCGTTATTTAGCAATGTTGTTTTCTACAGGATGGGGTTGCTGACCCTTGCCCAACCCTCCTTCTTTACCAGGTCTCTGTACTGGCGGTAACCCTAGAAGAGCTACAAGTTAATACATTATTCCAATCTCTTTTTCCATACACTATGTTAGTTACCTCTCGTCCTACCATAATGTAGTTTGGCAACTTGAGCCAACCTACATCTGTGCTAGACTCTACACGAATAATAACCAGCTGACCCTTTCTAAGGTAGACTGAATTGATAAAACAATGACTGAAAAGTAGCTAATAATCTGCATAGCATTCCAGTGTTGACTAAATTTTATGGGTTTGTGTTTAGTCAAAAATCAAGGGGAAAACAGTTGATAGTTAATAATTTTAATCAAAATTTACCGTCCCCATCAGTGTCTTCGGTTTCTAAGTGGTCAGGAATTTTATTCCTGTTTTCGTCTTCATCAATGTCTAATATACCTAAAATGCAAAATCGAATAAGGCTTACTGTACTTAATGGGTTTTTTTAAAGATGGTTAGAGAACAACCGTAAAACTGAAGACTTGTACTGCTGTTGAGATACACAAATGATGGGTAAATGTAACTTCAGAAAATATAAACGTAATCTCTTGTATTTCTGATATGTGATTCATCCAACAGAATTTAAAACATAATCAATACAATCTTCTCTATCATGAACATCCTTCAAAAATACTTCTATGATAAATTGTAATTTGTTTTATAATTAAATAAAAGTTTTGCAAACTAGAGTATTCCGAAAACGTTAATGTCAACCCAATAACTGTATTAAGATCGGTAGTCAAACTAAACTTCACATACTACGGAAGTATTAGACCATCATATTATACAACTGACCGTTAATAGATATTGAGATAAAAAGAGATAAAAATTTTCTTATTGACCACATAGAAATGGAACTTAGTTTGTTCAGTTATGTAGATTTAAGTCGACAATTAAAAGTGAACTGTGAAAAATTGAATACTATTTCTCAGACATGACAGAGACTTGTAATTATAATACAGATTATTGTACCTGAAGGCTTATCAAATTTTTAATGATCTTTAACACTTCAAGTGATTGACACGCTACCAGATACAACTCACTCAAGAACATGTTATCAATGTCCGTGATAGCATTTAAAATGATAAGGCTAACGTATTGTAAGTTATTAGCGTTTATAGTTTGGAGCAAAATCCAACTCACACGTCCGCGTCGTGCCTCCTGGATAATGAGACGAATGACTCATGAACTAACGTGAGCGGCAACCCGGGTGGTGGAGATCGGGCTAATCACCCACTCTTACCTATAACCGCCAATCTATTACGAATCCCACAGAGGAAAGGTGATCACTGGAGGAATATTTACATCTTACATTACTTTCAGAAAATAATAACCAATAATTACCATTGCATAACTCATCGTTTCATTTAATAGAACGGGATGAAAAAACTTTCAGATAAAAAAACAGAAATCACCATGCTGTAAATGATATTCGATCTATACCGTGTAGATGGATTTATTTGTCATTATAATTATCTAATCACCATACGACCATATTTGTACCTGATTGGCTGATTAGCTTAACTTAACACTGACAGCTTTGATTGGTTAATATTACGTTTGAGGTCGTAGTAATCAAATGGACATAACCTATATGAGCGTTATGGAGAAATTTAGAGAATGTTGGACATTTTAGTGTGGACGATTAATCTATTGGGATTTTAGTACTTTTACTGAAGCTACCTTTAAGTAAGTTTAGATATTTTACTCTAATACATATAAAAGTGAAACTCAACGAGACAGATAGAGCTACTTATATCTCGAAACATGTGCCATCCTATATTGATTCCGGAAAAAAAAAACTAATGGAAGTCCTGAACTGTATGAACACTTAATGCTGACACTTAGTCATTGATTAGTAACCTATCCAAAAGCTTAGGCCTAGATAATCTTGTTGACTGAGATAAAGACTTAGATGGCTACAGATGAGAAAATATGAAACCTTATCCTTTATGGAAGTAATAATGATTAAATTTCAGCAATGGAATTTTCAATGATTTTCTATGATAATTATTCACGTTCAGTATTGTCGATGATTGTTCATATTTTTTATATTATTGAAAAACCACATGGTCAAAGTTATCAAAGTTCATTTCCAAATTAGCGTTGTTTCTTGATTATCCCTGGAATTTTTATCACATCAGAACGTTTAAGTAGGCGAAATTCTTGTTCTAACAACAACATTGGTTGTCAGACTATGTCACCAAATAAATCAAAAGATCCATTTATTAATAAAATTAGTTGATAGGCCGGGTGATTCTGAGAGCATCACGTAACTATTCTGATATGCCATCCGGTCAGACACAAGGTAAAGAATTGTAATTGAGACACATTATTCAAGGAAACTAATTATGACCACAATCAGGAACTCAGCCTACATATCATTGTCTAGGTTAAGGAGACAAATGAACAGATATCAAAGACTTGTGACAAATGAACTTGGTTTGTCAGTTAAAGCTTCATAACCATTCCTCAGTTCTCTCTCGCTAATGGGTGCGAAAGTGTATAGAATGCGGATATTCACTCTGTAGCTGAATCCAGAAGTCATTGCAAGTAACAGAAAGTTTTTGCTTACCATCACCATCGTCATCATCGTCATCGCAATCAGGTATACCGTCCCCATCATCGTCGTCATCTAGATAATCAGGAATGCCATCACCATCTGTATCTTTTGCTTCAAGAATATCCAACATCTGATTGCCATTTCGATCTTTGTGATAATCCTTGATACCATCATTATCGTCGTCATCGTCTAAGTAGAAAAAGAATAGAACATTCCAACAAAAAAATTTTTTTAGAAAATGTTTATAATAACAATTTTCAAACACAAGTGTATCAATCTTAAAAAATAAAAGATTCACTGTCTTGCATTGTTACCTAACAATAAGACAATTATAAGCAGAGAATGTTGTTAACTTAAGACACTTAGTACAGCAGTAATATTATTAGGGATACTAATTGATTCATGTGATTGCCTGATTAATTATTATAGAAGATAGTTGTCTATAATACAAACGATAACCTTCACAAGTCTTATCTATCGAACTTAAATTCAGTGTTTAAACTTTCGTATCCTGTTTACCGAATATCTATTTATCTCTTCATTATTTAATTTAGAGACATAGTCTATATTAAGTTATTTAAAGAACTAATTGAAGCCTTTTAGTAGATATGTACATAAATATTTACAAGCTACTGATTTGGCTGTCTGGTGTTTAATACAGTTTGTCGAATTATTTTTCTTTTATTCTTCAAAACCTTTTCAAATATTACTATTTCAAGGCTGTAATCTTACTGATTATTTTGCAAAGAATATCACCATTATGATTGGAATTCTTGTGCTTAACATACATATACATGTAAATCTTGGTTTATTACACTAAGGATTCCTTCGACGAAGTATGTTGGACTAAGTAGTGAGACAGACAATAGGTTCATTTACTTCGGGTTTTAGAGTTTTCGTATACTTCTTCGTAAAAGAGATAAGCTATACTGATAAATTGTCTTCATACTTCCAAATCATATATATAAAATTATATAGATCTCCTTACTACGTATTTATGTTAGTTTACTACTTCTATTAGTAACTCATCAATACAAAAAATTTCGAATAGATTAAATGGTTTACTTATTAGATGTCTTGATTATGTAAACGAAATAAATCTATAAAGTGGTTGGAGGAGATCGGCAGGAAGCTGGGAATCTTGGATTCCATGCTAGTTGATAGTCGTTAGCAAGGCGTATTTTCAATTTTGGTGGCAATTTTATACTGCAGATCTAACTAACGTCTCTGATTATGATTGTGGGTAATGACCTAAATATAAATCTCACTTGAAGCATCAAGTCTTTTAAGACTGGAGATGCGCCTTGTTAACTGGTAATACCTATCGTGGGACCTAGATTCATGGCCTTCTATTGACCCCCCTTTTTACTGCTCAGTATCGGACAAATAGCCACTTGAACTAGTGACCATATTACAGTTTGCTAAGCATTTAGAACTAGACAATATAACACATTACTATTCCATAAAGAGAGCAAGAACAATCTTTGTTCTTGTTCTCTTTAAATGATAAAGGGAACTATGTGTATACTATTCCGTAGTTAGTTAGGTGTACTTCTGTATGTTGATTATATTTGCTGACTTAATGTTTACATTATGAGTAATAAAATGTTCTCTCAATAATTTCTGTAAGACACACTAATTGAAGAGTTTAATGGGAGTACATAAATCTAAAGTGTTCAATATTTTTAGGGACTATACTGTTTAAGTAACTGTTTTATATTTGTAGGCAGGGAAATTCTCATTTTAACTCAAAATCCCCATTATAGAACATGCAATCTTAATGTTCCATTTTCATCCAATGAGCACATTTTTAAATTAGACGGATGAAGAAATTTAACATACAGCCCAAAGCTTCAGCATACAAATAGACAAACGCAATATAAGATCCTAGAGGAAATTAAGACATGCAATTTTGTTGTTTAGAAATTCACGGAGAATCAATAAAAATAAAAACATCTAACATTTAAAGAAATCTGGATCATTTCAAAGATGGTAGTACGTCATGATTTGATTAACAACAAATGGGTAGAAATAAAATAACAGAAACAATAACAAAACGGTTCATATCAATACGTATACATATGTATGAGTGTAGAAGAAAGAAGGTGGGATATATCCAGTATTGGTTGACTCCGTCTATGCATTTTTTTTCACGCATTAGGAAATATCAGAAAAGGAAGTGTTAAAATATAAAGAGAGGTGATGAAGGGGTGCCAATCGAGAAGAGAATGCTATTAGAGCGGAACTATGTTTGACGACATGTAGTTGATAATCTTGAGCATTTTCAAACAATTTGGATTTTACGTGCACGCACACATTAATTAATACTTCTTTCATGAAACAATACAAATGCATAATAATAATAGTTATTAAGCCATTCAGTATCAATTTGTAGCGCATTTCGGTGCGTGAGGGGGGAAGCAAGGAATTTTCATGTTTTTTTTTTAAGACGAAATACCTTGATCGTCGGGAATTCCATCATTGTCAGAGTCTTTCATCTCTAGATTATCTGGTATCCCGTTGTTATTTCGATCAGTAACTGAAAATATACAGATAAAATAGAGAATTCGTTTTACTGAGAATATTTGTATGTTTGAATAGTATATATATTGGTAAGTAAACAAATCAAGTTAATTTCGAATAAAATTAGTTTTTTTTCGGAAAAATATTATTTAAGCGCATTTATTATTCTCCATCAATTAAATAATTTCAGAAGGGGTTTAGTGGATATTGTAGTAATTTCAATGGTTGAGATCATGAGTCGTTTGAAGCTAGACCACCATGGAAAACCTACAATATCCGCAAAACCCCATCTGATATTAATCAGCACATGCTCGCTAGTGACTGGCTTCACGAGGTATTTCCTGGAGTTCTAGTGTGAAGCAGTGACCAGTGGAGTTCGACCAGGTCCGTTGTGAGATAGTAACTCGCTGAAGACAACGGTGGATGTGCAGCTCAATTTCGTGGATTGGTTGAAGTTCGATATTAACACCGTTTGATGCCGGCTCAGTGGTTTAGTGGTTAAGCGCTCGCGCGCGAGACTGATAGGTTTTGGGTTCGAATCTCGCGGGGGCGGGATCGTGAATGCGCGCTGTTAAGGAGTCCCGCAATAGGACGAAACGGCCGCCCAGTACTTTCAGGTTTCCCTTGGTGGTCTAGCTTCAATTGACTCATGGTCTCAACCATGATATATCTTTAAATATTTCCAAAGATTGTACAAGTAATATTTTGCATTGACCTTATTGAAATGTCAGTATAAATGTTATTAATTTGATCCATATTAAAAGCATTATTCATCGTAAGTTTAAAAATCTAAATGTCTAGATTCTGGGTGTATTTTCAAGTGTTCAAATATTACTTTATTTTCTGTATCAGTAATAATACAATGTAATATAAATTACTCATCAACTACTATGTTACCAACCGATCACAAATAAAGTTCTCAGAACTAGTAAACAATTATAAAAATTACTAGTATAGGGAGACTATTAAGTTTTTGATTGGGATCATGGGTTCGAATCCCACGAGCGGGATCGTGGATGCGCGCTGCTGAGGAGTCACACAATAGGACGAGACGGTCGTCCAGTGCTTCCAAGTTTCCAAAGGTGATCGAACATCAATCGGTTCATGATCTCAATAAAAAATTATAAAAATATTTATTTCTAAATCAAGTAATTATCGATGATGTTTAAAATGATTGTTTATTAAAGTGCTTAGTTCACAGAAATTTGCATCCATTAGTGATATAAAATCTTAGCTGTCAGGAAGATTTATTTCCAGCCGTTCATGATTTAGATTTGGGTTATTATGGTATTAGTACTAACTGATGATTCTTTTTTGCTTGATTGTGCACTCATTACAAACTCTAAATATAATACGTTCAGTTGCACTGATCTAGTTTTACCGGCCTTAAATTGTACTATTTCGGAAATTCTTAGTTGAAACATTGATCTGAATGCTTCTAATTATCATGGTTATGTTCGAAATTTTTATACTGAGGTTTATCAAACTATATTATTAATGATTGTTCTACTTAAGAACTTTACTCAGAGAATTTTATAAGAAACTCTATATTTACGTGCAATTAATAATTGATTGTTTGTTTGCTATTACTGAAGTCTTGATTATTATTATTTATTATTATTATTATTATTAATAAATCCTCAGGTGGATGATTTTGATGGAGTTTTGTTCTCTGAGCTAGATGGTTTGGTCGTGGAGCTTTCGTTGTTCTTTTGAACGATATCATCAGCACAAACTTCAGGTAGAAATGTAGAGTTCAAAAAAACGATGAAAGCTCTACGACCAAACCATCCAGTTTAGAGAACAAAACTTCATCAAAACGCGATCCATGCATTGAAATTCATCAGATATACAAATGCTCTAACAAAGCTGATAATTAATCAGACAAGTTTCTAAAATTATTTTGTAAAGGATTCAATGGAGTTCAACCAGGTCTGTTGTGAGATAACAACTCACTGAAGACAATGGTGTACGGTGGTGCAACTTCGTCGATTGGTTGAAGTTAGACATTAACGTCGTTGGATGCCGGCTCAGTGGTCTAGTGGTTGAGTGCTCGCGCGCGAGGCCAGTAGGTCCTGGGTTCGAACCCCGTGTGGTGCGGGATCGTGAATGCGGACTTCTGGGGAGTCCCATACTAGGATGAAACGGCCGTCCAGTGCTTCCAGGTTTTCCATGATGGTCTAGCTTCAATCGACTCATGATTTCAACCTGTGAAATTTCTAAAACTCTCCACAAAACCCATTCTGATTCAATGATAAACTGAATAAATCTTGACTTATTTACAATTGATGTTATTTTCAGAGATATTCGTCTTTGTGAATTGATAATTCTATGTCTACATTACATTGATATTTCCATTAAGAAAACTTTGTTATGAATAATAAATGTTTCATAGAGCATCACCAGAGTTTGTATAATGCTTATTAACTGTCGATACATGTGACTAAGACAATTTCAAAAAAACCGTTCATGATATTTCTTTAGTATCATTTTGTTGAACTAACTTTTAGTATTAAATTTGTGTCAATATACAATTGATTATATTTCATAAATGACTATTCTATCTTATACCCTTAAGTGTTTCAGCTACAAAGTTTTATTTTACAATGAATAAGAAAGGTTTAATGAGTTTCGGGTATAGATTATCTGGCTGTACTAGATTTCTAATGGTAGGGTTTTAAATAATGACCAGTTTGACAAAATTGTGTAAGATTTAAAAAATACCCATTAGTTATCTTGTTTCTCATTATCAATCTACAATATGAAAAAAATCTATAGACAAATAGCAAACTGTACATAATCAGAAACATTTAAGTGTATGGTATGTACATTATTCCTTAATATTATTGATTAAACTTCGAAGAAATGAGATTGTCAACAAATTTATTAAAACTAAATTTAAAATATAGTTGAGTGCTGCCATGTGAGGTCATCCCGTCTACGATTTGTTGTCGAATACCATAACATATTCTAAATGTGAATATCGATTTAATAATTGATCAGCTCCTTAATAATATCGTTCTCTGATTGGTTTAATTTTTGTGGCCTTACCTAAATAATCACGTGACTAAGATGACTCATTCTCATGAAGTACATTCTATACACGTTATTTTTTTTGTTTTAACCGCTAGCCATTTAAATCTGTATTATCTGTGGACTACGATAATCTGCATCATTTTTAGGAGTCCTATCCCAATAGTTAAATTTGCCTTTGAAATAAACCTTACTACTACAAAAAAACTATTGTTTAAAAAATTAATAAGTGGAAAAATGTATGCATTTACCTTTCTCTTTCAGTACACCATCACTATTTGTATCATGATCCAAACTGTCTAGGATCCCAGGGACGGCTTTGATTTTACTCGAAGATTTTTTACTTTCTTTTCTTTTCTTTTTAGTATGTTTTTTTGATGCCTTTAAAAAGTGATGAAAATAATCTTCATCTAAGTAATCCGGTATACCATCACCGTCAGAATCTTGTTTAAATTCTGGAATTCCATTACCATCTAAATCATCCTCTACATGATCCGGTATAAAATTGGCATTTTTATCATTTGGATTTTGAAATTTTGATTTCTTATTTTTAGTCAATCTTCTTAATAAACGATTATCTTGTTTATCCAAGAAGTCTACAATACCATCGTGATCTTCATCTTCAAGATAATTTGGTATACCATCACCATCCCAATCTTCTAAATAATCTGCCATCCCATTATTGTTAGTATCTTTATCATACGCTTCAATAACTGCTTCAACTTCCACATCAACAACATCATTATCTAAATAATTCGGTATACCATCATTATCGGAATCTTCTAAATAATCTGGGACACCATCTTGATCAGTATCTTCAAGATAATCCGGTGTACCATCACCGTCTGAATCACCTTCTAAATGATCCGGTATACCATCTTTATTTTTGTCAGTGAAATGTTTCGGTGAGAATTGACTATTTGCGTCTTCATCTAAATAATCTGGAATACCATCACCGTCAGCATCTTCTAAATAGTCTGGTAAACCATCACCATCGCTATCTTCAAGAAAATCTAAAATTCCATCACCATCGGAATCACCTTGTAAATGATCTGGTATACCATCACCGTCTTCATCTTCAAATTTCATAGAAGAACGTAATTTACGATATTTTTTCGGTGAAAACTGTGTCGTAGCATCCTCATCTATGTAATCCGGTATACCATCACCATCACTATCTTCTAAATAATCTGGGATACCATTCGAATCAGAATCTTCTTGGTAGTCTGGAATTCCATCACCATCATTATCTTCTTCCAAATGGTCTGGTATGTAATCACCGTCTATGTCAGCATAATGTCTGACTGGTTTTAATGATCTTAATACCTTGGGTGAAAACTTTGTATTAGCATCTTCGTCTAAATAGTCTGGTATACCATCTTTGTCAGAATCTTCAAGATAATCCGGTATACTGTTATTATCCAAATCTTCTAAATAGTCAATGATATTGTTTTGATTAATATCACCTTCTAAATGATCTGGTATTCCATCTCTATCAGCATCAGCAAATTTTCGACCGCTGCCACGATGGCGTATTTTTCTCGGAGAAAATTGTGTAACAGCATCTTCATCCATGTAATCTGGTGTACCATCTGCATCAGTATCTTCTAAATAGTCTGGTATACCATCTCTATCAGAATCTTCTAAATAGTCAAGAACTCCGTCATAGTCAGAATCATTTTCTAAATGATCCGGTATCCCATTCTTATTTTTATCTTCAAATTTTAAATGGATATCACGTTTGGAGTTAAATGTATCATCTAAATAGTTTGGGAATCCATCATTATCTGAATCCTCTAGATAATCTGGAATACCATCGTCATCAGAATCTTCCATGAAGTCAAGGATGCCATCTCCATCCTGATCACTTTCTAAGTCATCTGGTATGCCATTTTTATTGAAATCGTAGTGCTTTTTATACGAAATTGTATGATGCAAGGATTGTCCTTTGGAATCGACATCTAAATAGTTTGGTGTTCCATCACCATCATCATCTTCCATAAAATCTGGAACTCCGTCATTATCACTATCTTTTAGATAGTCTGGAACACCATCACCATCAGCGTCACTACGCAGGTAATCATGAATAACATTGTCGTCTGAATCCGACGACTTGAAATTCATGATCGATTTACGCAAAAAATTAAAATAAACTGATGCAGCACCATTATTTTCCAGAAAATTAGGGATGCCGTCCCCGTCATCGTCTTCCAGGTAGTCTGGAATTCCGTCACCATCCTCATCTTCCTGGTGGTCAGGGATACCGTCACCATCAGAATCACCCTCTAGATGGTCTGGAATTCCATCACCGTCCCTGTCGATATGTTTTGGTAATTTGCTTGCTCTCTTGAGGTGACTGGTTTCGAGATAATTGGGAATGCCGTCCCCGTCATCGTCTTCCAGGTAGTCTGGAATTCCGTCACCATCCTCATCTTCCTGGTGGTCAGGGATACCGTCACCATCAGAATCACCCTCTAGATGGTCTGGAATTCCATCACCGTCCCTGTCGATATGTTTTGGTAATTTGCTTGCTCTCTTGAGGTGACTGGTTTCGAGATAATTGGGAATGCCGTCCCCGTCATCGTCTTCCAGGTAGTCTGGAATTCCGTCACCATCCTCATCTTCCTGGTGGTCAGGGATACCGTCACCATCAGAATCACCCTCTAGATGGTCTGGAATTCCATCACCGTCCCTGTCGATATGTTTTGGTAATTTGCTTGCTCTCTTGAGGTGACTGGTTTCGAGATAATTGGGGATGCCGTCCCCGTCATCGTCTTCCAGGTAGTCTGGAATTCCGTCACCATCCTCATCTTCCTGGTGGTCAGGGATACCGTCACCATCAGAATCACCCTCTAGATGGTCTGGAATTCCATCACCGTCCCTGTCGATATGTTTTGGTAATTTGCTTGCTCTCTTGAGGTGACTGGTTTCGAGATAATTGGGAATGCCGTCCCCGTCATCGTCTTCCAGGTAGTCTGGAATTCCGTCACCATCCTCATCTTCCTGGTGGTCAGGGATACCGTCACCATCAGAATCACCCTCTAGATGGTCTGGAATTCCATCACCGTCCCTGTCGATATGTTTTGGTAATTTGCTTGCTCTCTTGAGGTGACTGGTTTCGAGATAATTGGGAATGCCGTCCCCGTCATCGTCTTCCAGGTAGTCTGGAATTCCGTCACCATCCTCATCTTCCTGGTGGTCAGGGATACCGTCACCATCAGAATCACCCTCTAGATGGTCTGGAATTCCATCACCATCCCTGTCGATATGTTTTGGTAATTTGCTTGCTCTCTTGAGGTGACTGGTTTCGAGATAATTGGGAATGCCGTCCCCGTCATCGTCTTCCAGGTAGTCTGGAATTCCGTCACCATCCTCATCTTCCTGGTGGTCAGGGATACCGTCACCATCAGAATCACCCTCTAGATGGTCTGGAATTCCATCACCGTCCCTGTCGATATGTTTTGGTAATTTGCTTGCTCTCTTGAGGTGACTGGTTTCGAGATAATTGGGAATGCCGTCCCCGTCATCGTCTTCCAGGTAGTCTGGAATTCCGTCACCATCCTCATCTTCCTGGTGGTCAGGGATACCGTCACCATCAGAATCACCCTCTAGATGGTCTGGAATTCCATCACCGTCCCTGTCGATATGTTTTGGTAATTTGCTTGCTCTCTTGAGGTGACTGGTTTCGAGATAATTGGGAATGCCGTCCCCGTCATCGTCTTCCAGGTAGTCTGGAATTCCGTCACCATCCTCATCTTCCTGGTGGTCAGGGATACCGTCACCATCAGAATCACCCTCTAGATGGTCTGGAATTCCATCACCGTCCCTGTCGATATGTTTTGGTAATTTGCTTGCTCTCTTGAGGTGACTGGTTTCGAGATAATTGGGAATGCCGTCCCCGTCATCGTCTTCCAGGTAGTCTGGAATTCCGTCACCATCCTCATCTTCCTGGTGGTCAGGGATACCGTCACCATCAGAATCACCCTCTAGATGGTCTGGAATTCCATCACCGTCCCTGTCGATATGTTTTGGTAATTTGCTTGCTCTCTTGAGGTGACTGGTTTCGAGATAATTGGGAATGCCGTCCCCGTCATCGTCTTCCAGGTAGTCTGGAATTCCGTCACCATCCTCATCTTCCTGGTGGTCAGGGATACCGTCACCATCAGAATCACCCTCTAGATGGTCTGGAATTCCATCACCATCCCTGTCGATATGTTTTGGTAATTTGCTTGCTCTCTTGAGGTGACTGGTTTCGAGATAATTGGGAATGCCGTCCCCGTCATCGTCTTCCAGGTAGTCTGGAATTCCGTCACCATCCTCATCTTCCTGGTGGTCAGGGATACCGTCACCATCAGAATCACCCTCTAGATGGTCTGGAATTCCATCACCGTCCCTGTCGATATGTTTTGGTAATTTGCTTGCTCTCTTGAGGTGACTGGTTTCGAGATAATTGGGAATGCCGTCCCCGTCATCGTCTTCCAGGTAGTCTGGAATTCCGTCACCATCCTCATCTTCCTGGTGGTCAGGGATACCGTCACCATCAGAATCACCCTCTAGATGGTCTGGAATTCCATCACCGTCCCTGTCGATATGTTTTGGTAATTTGCTTGCTCTCTTGAGGTGACTGGTTTCGAGATAATTGGGGATGCCGTCCCCGTCATCGTCTTCCAGGTAGTCTGGAATTCCGTCACCATCCTCATCTTCCTGGTGGTCAGGGATACCGTCACCATCAGAATCACCCTCTAGATGGTCTGGAATTCCATCACCGTCCCTGTCGATATGTTTTGGTAATTTGCTTGCTCTCTTGAGGTGACTGGTTTCGAGATAATTGGGAATGCCGTCCCCGTCATCGTCTTCCAGGTAGTCTGGAATTCCGTCACCATCCTGATCTTCCTGGTGGTCAGGGATACCGTCACCATCAGAATCACCCTCTAGATGGTCTGGAATTCCATCACCGTCCCTGTCGATATGTTTTGGTAATTTGCTTGCTCTCTTGAGGTGACTGGTTTCGAGATAATTGGGAATGCCGTCCCCGTCATCGTCTTCCAGGTAGTCTGGAATTCCGTCACCATCCTCATCTTCCTGGTGGTCAGGGATACCGTCACCATCAGAATCACCCTCTAGATGGTCTGGAATTCCATCACCATCCCTGTCGATATGTTTTGGTAATTTGCTTGCTCTCTTGAGGTGACTGGTTTCGAGATAATTGGGAATGCCGTCCCCGTCATCGTCTTCCAGGTAGTCTGGAATTCCGTCACCATCCTCATCTTCCTGGTGGTCAGGGATACCGTCATCATCAGAATCGTCTTCGTGGTGTTCATTGTGTGAGTATAGTTGTTGACTGTGCATCTTTTTATTGATGTTTTTTCTGTATCTCATATTTTTTTTATTTTCATCTTTACGTGTTTCTTTATTTTTATGTTTGCGAACTCGACGTTCGTTTATTTTATACTTACCTTGATTTTTGCTGTTTTTACAATTTTCCAGGTAATCTGGAACGCCATTTTCATCTTCGTCTTCTAAGTAGTTTGGTATTCCATCTCCATCATCATCTTCCATATAATCTGGAATACCGTCTCCATCTGAATCACTTTCTAAATGATCTGGAATGCCATCATTATCATCATCTTCTAGGTAGTCGGGAATACCATTGCCATTTTCATCTTCCATATAATCCGGTATACCGTCACCATCTGAGTCTAGCGATGTTTCATCTTCGTCATCATGATCATCTTCATCATGCCTAGATAAATAATTTGTTATAGAATGAGATTTTCGGTGAGTTTTCATCTGGTTATTTTGTGTTGTTTGACATGAATGGACGTCACATGATTGTTTATTTTTTGTGGAGTGTAACCTTTTGTCATTTTCATTAACCTAACAGGAATAAAACACACAATAATGAAGATTTATCAAGATTTAAATTTAAAATTTTCTTAATGTGCATGAAATCTGTATAGAATGTTTAAAAGTTACTGTGACAGGTTTGACCATATTCTCATTGATATTGATCCCATGAAAATATTTTTCACATATCAACTAACATCGAGATCATTTGGTCATAAAAAAAAATCCAAAAATTATACAATCTGCCAATATTAGCATTATGAAACCGTAAAAAGAAACGAACAAAATGAAAAACAGAAAACATATCAGTCTTTGAATTTCCTTTAAGTTAGATTTTTTGGTAGCCGATATTTCACTGTCATACTAAATAGTGTATATTGAGAACAAGATTAACATCGGAAAATTTATGAGTTGATGAAAAACGATTAAATTTTTTTAGAACAATAATATGCATAATTCACTATCTCTTTTTAAGGTATTACTGTTAAACATTCAAGGAACATATTTAGTAAATGGACACTTTTTAACGATTTATTTGTGAATAAACTGTAACTGTGTCATATTGTGATACTTGAAAGTAATTCCAAATGTCATAGGTTCGGTTTCGGATAGTGTCCTCAATGTGTTGAATCACTTACGGACATTTGAGCAACAAAATAATAGTATTACTAGTAACTGAACAATGGACAAAGCTTATAGATTGGTGCAAAATCTACATAGGTTTCAATATAAAATCAGAGGTCTATCACTTGATTTACACTTTTTGTTATTTGTTTTCCTAAGTCGTACTTTAGGATTATAACCCGTTAGTTCTATCATGCATGAAATACAATTTTGAATAAATATTATCAACCAACTTGCGATCTCGACTTTTGAAGGCCATTGTTCACTGAAGTAAAGAAATACAGGAAAAATTGCTATTTATTATATCCGTCTTCAAATAGACAGACTGACATCTCATTTGTGCTACATATAATATAAGTAGATAAATGGAATGAGAGACATTCAAATCCATATCTAGATTTCATTTGCTATCAGTCTTTCATAATTGTATGGTTTTTACAATAAATAAATTGCTAGCTTACTCAAAACCTTTCTCAATTAACAAAATAGACCAGCTGAATTATTAAAAAAACCCGTATGCACCCGAAGTATCCGTTATTCGTTATTCATGGCGTTCAAAAGAATGATTTTTTCCTGCATCTTTATCATATATAATTATGCCATTTACACACTCCAAGTCGATGAAAGGATTTCTAAGTAGAAGATCAATCTCTAGAAAATTAGATGAACAAAATGTAACTATTCGGAAAAGTAGGAAGAATGCATGAATCTGTCAGATAGCATTTTACGCAGCAATTGCAAATGTGACACTTTTGACTCTGCCAATAGTTTGTGAACAAAGAGATTTCAGTAGGTCTCTCATTTACAAACATTGTTAGTTGGTCAACTTTAGTGTAGACATCCATAATTAAGCTGGTATTACATAACTTATGAAAGAGTAGAGATCTGACACACTTCGATAACTTAACCTGAAACTAGCCTAATTTTATTGAGGTCGCCATTTCAGAGTCTCAGTTAGGAGTCAGGTTATAAAGAAAATATAGGTTTTATAAACCATGTTAATTCAACTGATCCTATGATCTCTCTTTTTACTTTTTTTTACTGACCACTGCTTTTAATCATCATCTGGATTTTTTTCAGTCAGTGTTTAAATTACTACTGCTTTTCATTGTATTTACACATTGACAAGCTATGTTTTCCTTACACCTATAAATTTAGTTGAAGCTATAAAAGTTCGGAGATTTTTCCTTGTTTACCAAATTGTCTATCAGATTACTGACAAAATAGACACGTCGAGTTACCTAAGATGAATAATCATTCTACGAAATCCTTTATTATCAACCAATCAACAGTCCGTTTCTACAAATACACACTCAGTAATCCATTAAATTACACAAATAATAACTGAAATTAGTACTGATGGTGTAGGAATAGAAACTTAAACGTTACAACTGTTTCTATTGATCTATAAATACATCCTTAGGAAAAATGGGACTATTCACAAAATATGCATCATTAGTTTTTCTATTTTACAATTTCAAATAAGAAACTTATTTAGAATAGTAGTAGTCCACTGTAAATTTAATATATACAAGTTTAAAATCTTATAAATGAAATTTTCTTAAATTTCATATCAGTTTCCGGCTTAGTTCATCGGTAATATTAACAAGAACACTGTAAATAACTTAGCCATGAAGAAAAGAATTTACAGAAGCTTTTCACTTTTTTTCGAAAAAAAGTATTATCAGTATGGGGTTGTGGAGATGATCAGGTTTTGATTGAGATCATGAACCAATTAATGTTAGATTACCATTGAAAACCTGGGAGCACTAGATGACCAAGGGTTCGAATCCTCCGAGCGGGATCGTGGATGCGCACTGATGAGGAGTCCCACAATAGGACGCAAAGGCCCTCCAATACGTTTTTCAGGTACGTTCATATATAAACAATCCTGTATCACAGTATTATTATGCATATTTACTTATGTAAATCTGGACTACATTTTTAAAAATAGTCTATTAATGTGCATAGTTGACAATATCATTATTGCAATAAGTAATAAGACGAACTATGTAATAAACTTGTCATGGGGTTATCTAAAAGTTGCATGTCCGTGATTCTCTATTTCTTATTCCTTAAATCATTAAGAGTAATTTTGAAAGTAAACCGAAATCTAATATGGAGAATATCATAAAACAATTGTTAAATATACGTGACATTATTATGCAAAATTAACTTCGGTATCAAGAAATACAATTATCTCTATTGTTATAAGTCTGTTTAACTGTAAAAGTTTATGTTATCAACGTAAAGAATCGCAACTAGTCAGTTTCATTTTCGGCATACTTACATTCTGACCGGATTACCTTGATATTCCCATTTAATCAAAGGTTTTTATTCATGTTGGATAGTGACTAATAATTGTATCAAGCTTACAAGTTCCAAATAAGATAAAACGTGTTTCCTGAGCTAAAGTGCTCACCAATGTCCGACTTAAATAAAAATTTCTTAATCATCGTTACTATTTTTCATTTTCTGTTTAATAAAAGCTGTATGAAGAAGTGAATCTGATCACTCTGTATTTCCTGACTGGTAAAAAGGATTTCCTTCGAAATGATGAGCTGATCTGAGTTAAAATATCACTGAGAATCTGGAAGCACTTGACGGACGTTTCGTCCTAGTATACAACACCTCACTAGTGAGCATCCGTGAGACCCTCACGTCACAATTGAACAAACGACCCTCAGTCTCATCACACTGGGACACTTAATATCTAAGCCACTGAATCGTAATCCAATAGTATCATTTTCTAACTTCCGTCAATCCACAATAGTACACCACCATCTCCCATCGTCTTCAGTAGGTAATTGCCCCTCACTCGATACGGTTTAGCTTCACTGATCGCAGTTTCTCACTAGAAATGTTGAAATTTCCTCTAGAAGTTAGTTACTAGTAACCACATAATAATTATATGTGTTTGTTGAGATTTTTGAATTTCACTGAAATCCTGAAGTGACTTAAATTTAAAGATAATCGCGCAATGTTGCGGATTGATTAAAATGAGAAATTAATACCGTTGGATGCAGATTCGGCAGTTTGGAGACTAATTGTTCCCGCGTGAAACCGAGTGTCCTTGATCCGATTCCGATATGAGGGATCATGGATGCTCACTACTGAGGAATTGTATGCTAGAACGAAGTATTAATGAAGTTTTAACTTCGATCAATTCATGATTTCAGTGAAAATGAACAATCTTCATAATCTCATACTAAGAAAGAATTTTATTATCCCAGTTTGTTATCAAATATATTCATGATCATAAGAACAGAATTCATTTGTTTCTACATATGACGTGATCTTAAGTTAATGATGATGATGATGATGATGATATACGACCATAAAAATATTTAATAAGTCATGTTACTAATAAATATTTATTGAATTATTGAAACGTCTAGAGTTAACACATAATAGTTTCTGTGTATATTTTATAAATCAGTCAACATTATTATCAACATACAAGAATAAAATAAAATTAGACTAAATTAAGAAAAGTTTACACTATAAAAGAAATTTATAAATGGTTTATTGCAGATTATAACTGTTAGAAACTAATTTACACAACAGAATAACTGTTTCATTCTATAATTGTTTGAATCTATTCAGATGATGAATTTCAAGGCAGTGGTTGTTTCAGTTTTCAATAGTAAAACAAACAAAACAGAATTGGTGAGACTATAATTTATGGACGATCATTGAGCGACGCTAAAGTGACTTTGAGAATGTCCATTTATTAACTAAGACTAAATGAGTGTTATAAAGCAATGTGAAGAATAAGGATTATGATTTTCGGTGGATGGTAGGGGTTAGGAATTAGATTTAGGGTTTTCATCACAAAATGACATAAGCTAAAATGCCAAAACGCTATTTAGCCAAATGGATGAATGAACTTTGTGCCAAAATCTAATATCTATTTTCCTAAATCTGATTGGTTCGTCCATGAATTACAGTCTCGGTCAAGAAATTATTAACTTCATAATTATCTAAATTTTTTTCTAAATAAGAAATTGGATTGATGAATAGTTTAACTATGTAATTCTTCTAACCTTCTGTTTTTCTTTTACTTTTAATTTATCAACTTTTTTCATTTGTGTTTCTTCGTTTTGTTTCATTTTCTTGATATTTTTTCTATGTGATCCAGTTACTTCATCAGCTGTTCCTGCTTCTGCTCCAGGCAATAAAAAACTGCCAAATATTGATGATTTTAAGTTTGCATCAGCTAAATTAACTTCTTGATCATTCTCTATTTCATCGTCATCATCATCATCGCTAGCATTATCAAAGGGAGTAGAAACATGATCAGGGTAATCATTTATATCATGAATATTCAGTAAAATGTCTTTATCTAAAGAATAAAATGAATCAGTATTTTCATTTGGTGTTAAACTTTCTGCTAATTTACGATTTTGTTGTTTATTATTTAATTTAACAGTATTTTGTTCCTTGATATGTTTTGGTGGTATTTGTTGTTGATTTGATTGTTTTGAAGAAGGGGAACCAGTAGATTTGATTCCTTGCACTGATGTTTTCTTTGGATTTATATTACCGCCATTTTCTTGTTTATTATTTGGATTATGTTTAATTGTATGTTCATTTTTTGAATTGATATTAGATTGAACAGATTTTGAATTAAATGACTTTATTTTAGATTTTATTTCATTAACATTATGATGATTATCTGGATTATCATTCTTGTTATCATTGAAATCAAATGATGGAATTGCTTGTATTGTATTCTTTGGTAAAGGTTCACGTAGTTTAGCACGAATACGTATTAATTTACGTTTAGCTTCATTAACCATATAGGCTTGGTGTTGTTCTTCTTGTGTTGGTTCACGTATTCTTAATACTTTTTTAATTAAACCAGAAGGTGATTTAACTAATTTATAATGTAATCCACCATCACGTCGACAATCTGGAATACCATCACCATTTGCATCAGGATCTAATACATCAGGAATACCTTAAAACAAAAATTTAAGAAGGGTAGATAAGAAAAGAGAAGTCTGAAAACGATATACACAGCTTTTGATATAGAAGACTTTTGAAAACTGTTAAATTTTATCGTTTACATCATGGACCGACTTTAATTAGATAACCATGAATACCAAGAATTACTGAACAACTGTTTTATCCTAGTATAGCGTAACTTATCAACATTGTCCATCCACGATGTCATTGAAGATCGAACGCGCCATTAATGAACAATATTGAAGAATTGCATGTTATGAAAAAGTAGTTGTTCAGTACTTACTGATTTCCAATCCTTATTTAACTAAGTCAGTCTATGATATAAACTATAAAATAAAACTATCGGTAAGTTCAGTTATTACGACGGATTTGAATAAAAAATGTAAATTGAAAAGTATTGAAATTTCCATACTGCAAGTTAGAACAACACATATAAGCAAACAACACTGTTTTCAGTCAGATCTTTGTTATAACTGTGACTGCAGATTAGACGGCAGCGGATTATCGATCGAACCAAAGACGCGTAAACACGTAAGGACGGCCTAGAGTCCTGATTGGCCCTGCTTCCTGTTTAGCCCAGCCAGTTAAGTCCAGAACGCAAGTCTCAGCCTCTGAGATATGAATCGTTATATTTCAGGCATACTCTGTTTATATACCAATCAAGCAGACCACATCGTACCATAAAATAGAAAATAACATTTGACCCGTGAAATAAGTATTGACCATTAGAAAAATGACACGTGAAATAAGTATTGACCAATAGGAAAATGATACCATCTCTAGTCTAAGAATAGCATTAGACTAAATAGAATAATTTTTGGGATATTTTCCTGAATATCCCAACAATCTTTATCGGACTTTGTAATATTTATATGGGTGTTTAAAAAATTAAACCAACCAAGGCAATTTGTGAGTCAAACATAACAATTAAGTGGATTACATAGCAAAATATGTTTTCATATATATAACGAAATATTAGAGTAAAACCTAGTAAAGATCTACAAGAAAACAATATTGCTCATTTATATCGATTATTCATGTTATGATGTACCCATTTCTTACATGGTTTCCTAGTTCATCAATACAAGCTATATATTGATACTAATTTTAGTAATCTACCTCATTCAAAGGTTAGTATAATATGATTTAAAATAATAAGTAATTAGGGAGAAATAACGAAGGCTTTCCGATATTTATTATGCTTAATCACTTTTATAAAAGAATTTGAAGATTTATTAGTATTTTCATCCTACTTTGTCCTTATTTAGTAAAATGATTATTTATATGATTGTTTCATTTGTTTCAGTTATAATGGAGTCGTTTTTGGTTCTATGGTGCATTCATGTGTTAAGTAATGGTCATTGGTTCTAAAGCTGTAAGTTGCTGGTTTAGGCATGAGTGTTATTATTAGATCATACGACGAAAAATTCAGAGAAGAAATCGTTTTTCAAAGAACCTTTTTTTAAGCCATATAATCGTAAATGTGTATGAAATTTTAAAAACACGATGATGTAATAGGTTATGGAGTATAAATAATAAAAATAAATTGTTGCTTGTACAAATAAAAAGGTATATAAAATTAATAATTATAAACACAAAGTTCAGCGATGTTTGATTATAGTTCCTTGAAAAAGCTTGAACCAGATCATCGAACGAAACGTTGGATTTACTTCAAATTCAATCACTGAGATGTTACAAATATATTATTCCTCATTAATGTCTTACACAAACTCGGTGTTCAGTTACTGTGAAACTGTTCGTTCAAATTTAGACGAAAGCTCTTATATATATACGATTGTACAGCTTGATAATAAATTCGTTGAAAAGAGATCTCCTCGTTGAATCTCATGTTTTTATATTTAAATGGGAACTATGTGTGTTTATATAACAATGTGTTATGTTTCAATCAAATCAGTAAGTTTTATCAATCCAACCAAGAGTTATAAGCAGTTGATGGGATTTCACGGAATAAAATGATTTCATACTATTTTTTATTTGGAATTTTAGTATTTGTTCTAATCAAATTAATAAAGAGAATAAATCATCGAGAAGAAAACTTTCATTGTCTAAATGCTTTCATTTTTAAACAGTTTGTATAGAAATAGAATCAGCCGATTTGTGATATCATAATGAAGTACGCTAAAGAAGGAAGAGTACATAAGTCTCTTGGTATATACCGAAACAATCCAATCCACTTGGAGACAAGTAATCAATCTGTTATAGAGTATAGTGTGAAAGATTCATGAAATGGATTGAAACTTGAATACATCATATTCATAACTAAGAGTGTATTAAGTTAAAGCCATACTCGTACAACAGGTAGAAGGCTGAACAAATCATACAATCATACGTTTTTTACAACTCATCAGTACATGCATATCTGAACAATAATAAAATCAAAGGTCAGCGGGATGATTAATGTAGTAATACAATAAAAAGACTTCTTTTTCTATATACGATCGAATTGGTCTGACAGCACATTATTTTCTGTGATTCTTGGTTTTTATCATTATAGAGTGATTCATTGACATGATACTACCAGGATATTATATAGGTATACAGATGAGGAAATTGATAAGAGGTTAATTACTTATCAGTCAAGCACAATTATAAAACCAACCATACATAATCCAACTACAACAGTGCTTCATCACAAATCCTTAATATTTCCAACGATAGAGTGTTTTTTCATGGCTTTCATACTGGACTCAGTAAACTTAGGCGTGTAGTTTAAAAGTTTCAAATCACAATGATATACACATTCACTCCTCTTTAATCTCCATTAATTTTTTTTCGCAGTTGACGTCAATTCATGATCAAAATATCTAGAATTAATCAAATGTATTTAAACTACCAATTTTATTAAAAAAATCCCTAATAATTCCTACCATCATTATCATCATCCTCGTCTATGTGATTTAATAATCCATCCATATCTGAATCTTGTGTTCTGTCGATTTTTCCATCATTATCCAAGTCATTATCAATATGATCTGGAATACCATCACAATCTTTATCGTTTGGATCGCCTAAATCGACATTTAACAAGTTGGCTTCTTGTCGTGCAATATGAGCTGTAAACAAAAAATAGCAATCATATTCATAAATTGTGGGATTTTTTTGGGAATATCAATATACGTAGAATCACACTCAAGCCAAATACTATGTATGATACTCTAGTGCACATTTAAGCCCAAATTGTACAAACATAAGTGTACTTAGTAAAGAAAACTACATACAAATCTAGTTTTATTGAATTATTTGTATGAGAGGGAGGGCATACCGAGAAAGTCACAAATCCGCATTAAAGATTGTATAATATTGATGGTATTTTAAGTTGACAGATACTCATCAAATTCATTACACTAATGAATTCAATAAACGTTTTTCAATACAACTAATGATGTTCTTAGAGGTGGTTAGTAATAAAATTGAAAAATTTTAATGCTCAGTAATAATGTATGAATGACGTTTATAACAATTACAACATAATGTCTACTCAGAATCCATAAATGTCACACGTGGAAATGTAAAGATTTAAACATTTACGAGGATAAGCGACTATAAATATTAAGTTAATCAAATAAATTAGCGTTGGATTGTCTCACATATATTTACTAGTTGAAGTTTAAACAAGCCAAATATTTTTGAATTTATTACATAATCAATTGTTATTCATATTTTTTATACTGTAAAAGTAGAGTTAAAGCTATATATGTTGTTTGGTTTTCAATCCCCTAAACATTAAAAAGGTCATTAGTTCGTATATCGATTATGCCCATGTTGAGCAAGCATCCATTTTTTCATGTAATAGTCTCATGGATGCTATCGACGAATTCTATCTGATCGTTAACTCTTTTTTAGATTCCCATGTACTTCTTAAAACGGACAGGTTTAGTAAACCTTACGAATTACATATACCAACTAAATATCGTAATAAACTAAGACGCCTACCGAAACGTTAAGTCAAACGACTTCACGGCAGTTGCACAAATAACAATAGTTTTTAACTAAATTAAAGCGAAACATAGTTTAAAAGCCAATAATGAGGAGATACTAGCACTTAATACTAACTCGAAGGTACAAAACTTAACTATCCTTTTCAATAAACGCGCTTAGGCAACTCAAAATGTTGATATGCCGTGCATCCAGCATAATAGCACTTTTATATACGATTCTAAAACTATAGCAGACCTCCTCAGTGGTATTTTTGCGAATGGTGTAGAAATCATAAATGGCTCTGCATCAAGAGTTATGTGTGTGACTAGCAACTCAATAAAATCTATCTCTTTCACATGCATGAAAATTAGTAAGGCTATAAATATCCTTAAGCTTTCGAGAGGTCATGGAGCAGACGGGATTTCATCCTTTCTCTACAAATATGGTGGTCCAGATATTCCACTTCTTCTAAAGCTGTTTACTCTATGGAAACAGGTTCTTACCCTTACTTTTGGAAAACCTCGAACATCATACCACGTTACAAATCTGGAGATAAGACTGACATGAACAATTATCGGCCGATAAATATTACTCCAGTTATCTCTAGGATTATGAAAAAAAATTATAAGTGATGAACTTTCGAACTATTTACTCGCTGGAAAACTTATCAATGATACTCAACATGGATTTCTTAAAAATCGTTCTCACATGACATGTCATTTTGACTTCTTTAATTTAGTCTATTCTCTACATAGCCAAGGATATCTAGTCTTAGTACTATATCTGGACATTTATAAAACTTTCGACATGGTTAACCACCAACTTGTTATAGGTAAACTCGCATCTTACGGGGTTCAACACCCTTTACTAGCTTGGTTTGATTCCTTTCTCAGCAATCGACATCAAATAGTTAAAATTAACTCTTCATTGTCTAATGCTGTCCCTGTTAGAAGTGGTGTAATACGAGGTAGTGTCTTAGGCCCTTTGCTCATTTTAGTGTTTATCAATGGTATTTGTGAAAGCTTTTGTGTGGGTAACCCCCTTCTATATGCAGATGATCTTAAAGTAGTATACTCATTTTCTCCACATGAGCTGAAAAATATGCAAAATTGAATCAGCATGGAGCTTAACAAGGTAGCACAGTGGGGATGGTTAGGGTTAGGAATTAGATTTAGGGTTTTCATCACGAATTGACATCACTTATAATGCCAAAACTCTATTTAGCCCGATGGATGAATGAATTTCGCTCTTTTTTCCTAAATATATATATTTTCATCAATCTGATCAGTAAATACATTATTCAATGTATCAATTCTTTACACATATAACATTGAACATTCATAATATCTATAATCTAGGCAAGAATAGTTTATGCTAACAGATAACAGGAAAATAGGTCACATATAAACACACAGACAGAAAAAAAAACAGACATGAACTCATGGAAAACTACTTGAACAGTCATAATTCTTTGTAGAAATGTACTAATATTCATGCTAAACATTAAAGCATGCTTTCAAACTAACGAAGCTAGAATTAGTAATTGTTGTAGTAATTTTACATTGAAAAATCTTATGTATCATTTCATGGCTTTTAAGGAGTATTTTCTATAGAAACTAATTTGTTATAGCAGAATGTACAATGGGGATTAAATACATAAAACTGTAACGCCTCAATAAATTCCATTTTAACATATATTTTAAAAGTTTTAGGTCCAATTTCAAATAGTGTTAAAACAAGTTATTGTTAAGCCCATTTACGTTAAATTAATGAAATCTCTAATTTAAACTTAAAAAATTATTATATCGTTGTGAAACAGATGATGATCATGATCCAAGCATAATTATGAGGAACCACGTAGTCGACTTTTGAGGTTATTGGCAGCTAAAAACACTCCATGTTTACAAATATACCAGTTCATGCCATTGTTATAATCCCGAACTTTGGAGTTCTAGAAGGGCTTTTTAACAAACTGTTGTACTGCTATCTCTGGTTTACAATAACACAGTTAATAAGTTAGTATAGTGTTTAATCTGTTTATTCTGGTAAGCGTTTAAACGAATTAAACAACACAATGCTTACTTATGTTAACTGTGTCATTGTAAAAGAGAAGAAACCACGATACAAAAGCTTGTTAAGAAACAGGTCAGATTCCGTAGGAATCGATCGTGCACGGACCAAATCGCCACACAACAGACCATTGTTGAACAATCAATTTAATGGAACTCATCACTGTACACCAACTTCCTAAACTCTGAGAAGGCGTTTGACAGTGTGGATAGGAGAACATTATGGAAACTTCAACACTATGAAGTGCCTGAGAAGATCATCAACATCATCAGGAATTCATAAGACGAACTACACTGCAAAGTGGTTAATGGGAAACAGCTGACAGACTCATTCCAAGTGAAGACAGGAATAACACAAGGCTGCTTATTCTTCCACTTCCTCTTTATTATGTTGATCGACTGGATTATGAAGATCTCGACATCTGAGGAGAAGTAAGGAATACAATGAACAGCTCGGAATCAATTGGAATATTTTTTCTTCAAAGATAACCTGACCCTTCTATCCCATACACGCGGGCAAATACAGGTTATGATAACCAGCATAGCACCAGCCTCTTCATCAGTAGGCCTTATAAAACACAAAGGGAAAAGCAACATCCTCAAATTCAACACAGAGAACACCAAACCAATCACAGTTGATGGCGAAACTCTGGGAGAGGTGGGAAGTTTCACATATCTGGGCAGCAACATCAATGAACGTAGAGGATCTGGTGCAAATGTAAAGGCAAGGATTGGCAAAGTAAGGGCAGTGTTTCTACAATTGAAGAACATATGGAACTTAAAACAACTGTCAGCCAATATCAAAGTCAGAATTTTCAATACGAACACCAAGACAGTTTTACTGTAAGGAGCTGAAACGTGGAGATCTACCACAACCATCATCAAAAAGGTATATGTATTTCTAAACAGTTGTCTATGTAGGATACTGAAGGTCCTTCGGCCGGATGCCATCAGCAACAGCTTACTGTGGGAGACAACAAACCAGGTTTTACCTGAAGAGGAAGTTAGGGAAATGCATTGGAAGTGGATAGGACATACATTACGGAAATCATCAAACTGCATCACGAGGCAAGTGCTAACTTGAAATTCTGAATAGAAACGGCAAAGAGGAAGGCCAAGGAACACACTGCGCCGAGAATTGGAAGCGGACATGGGAAGGGACTATAGCAACTGGAAACTACTGTAACGGATTGCTCCGAACAGGGTTGGATGGATAATGCAGGCGAGCGGCCTATGCTCCTCCATGAAAGGTACCAGGTGTAAGTAAGTTAGTTATAATGTTGTGGAGGTCTTTGAAATTCATTGAAATCCTGAAAAGACCACCATTGAAGACCTAGTGGTCTAATTTAAGTCACTTCAGGATTTCAGTGAAATTCAAAAATCTCAACAAACACATATAATTATTATGTGGTTACTAGTAATTAACTTCTAGAGAGATTTCAACACTTCTAGTGAGAGACTGTGATCAGTGAAGCTAAACCGTATCGAGTGAGGGGCAATTACCTACTGAAAACAATGGGAGATGGTCGTGTACTATTGTGGATTGATGGAAGTTAGAAAATGATACTATTGGATTACGATTCAGTGGTTTAGATATTAAGTGTCCCAGTGTGAGACTGAGGGTCGTTTGTTCGATTGTGACGTGAGGGTCTCACGGATGCTCACTAGTGAGGTGTTGTATACTAGAACGAAACGTTCGTCTAGTGATTCAAATTTTTTAAATGGTGTATTAAAGTAGATCACTTGATGAATTCAATGCTTTTATCACAGTGTTTAGGGAATAAATAATTTTTCTAGTTGTTATCAGTTAAGTATTTTTCATGAAAAAGAATTAACCTAATATAACAGTAGTTATTCATAAGTCGATTAGTTCTTAAATTTGTTATTTCTTCTTTTCAACCTATTTTTTTATATACTAAGAAAGTTAACTCACGTTCCATGATGACATCTAGAAAAAATACACCATAAATAAAATACAATACTGAAGACCATGTTAATATTTGACTCGGTAGCTCATGTAACATAATAATTACTCCTTAATTAAAAGTAATGAGATTAGGTCAGACATTGTTGAACAAAATGATAACTTGAAAGTCTGTATGATAATATTCACTATTCGTACTCTGGTGTACATAATAAAAATTGCCTATATATATGTAGTTTTAATTGTCCTGACAACAAATCTGTGTGTTAAGTAAAAGTGGGAAATCATTTATTTTTGTAAAGAAAGGTGCAACAATAAACTCTAAAAACATGATAAACATTGCACACATTTGTAATATTCAAAAAAAAAAGATCTTCATGCATTTTGAAACTCTAGACAAACACAACACATTTAAAGTAAGAATTATTATCTTAATACTAAATTGACGAGTATCATAGTTCACCATGTGTATATTGTACATCGTTAGATATTTCACTGTCGGACATTCCATGTGGAAATTTTTTCACAAAAATTGGCATATAAACTCGAATTTTTTTCAGACGATTATCTGAAATAATTTTTTTTTTGTTTTTGATAAATGTGATTTAGTTGATGAAGTTTAGATTTAAAAAAAAATAAGGAAAGCAAAAATGGATTTGAATAAACAATTTCAATAGGTAAACAAATATTTCTCCTTCATCACGTTAAGCTTATGTTCCTTTAAGTAACATTTGTAAGTATACAGTTGTAGTGAACACGAACACTAATAGGGACAATCGGATGTATTTTGACACAAAATTATAGGACTTGGTAATAAAATCTAACAATCATAATGTAAATGCTCAATTTGCAAAATGTTCGTCGATTGTCTCAAAATGACTCAGACTTTATTGTTCTTACATTTTCGTACAAATTGCATTCTGTTTTCATTTTTTACTGTTCGATCCTCATGCCTCTCTGCTGCCAGACCTTCTGTTTACAACTAACATCATATACTACTTACGTTAATATAAGTAGCACACAACAAACAGTTACACATGAGATTGTAGAGTTTTTTGTGTTTTAGCGAGCTTATATACACTTGAAGCATACTGCATACTTAACGGAATTAAAATCGTTTCGTGAACTTGTATAACAGACTGATACAAGCTGTTATTTCAACTTATCTGTCCCAAACATATGACACTGTAATCTGATCTGTTATATTTTATGTATTCATATATAATTAATCTTAACCTTTCCTCTAAGTGTATTTTTGTGTATCCAAGCTTATCTATCTCTATTTGCCTAAATTACTATTTGTTTACTTTCATACATAAACTAATTCAAAGTTAACTAAGCGTCTTTCAACTAATATTTGTCAAATATAACACAATGTTCATTTATTTTGTCTTGCGGTATTGTGGATATGCGCCGTTGAAGAGTTCCATAATAGGACAAAATGACTATCTGGTGCTTTCAGATTTTTAACAGTTGTCTTACTTTGATCAGTTCATCATTTCAATAATATTCATCTTTTTTCTGATAAATTGCATTTGACTATATATTTCTACAGTAGTGAGCTCTGAGGATTCAGAAATGTCAGTTATCTTAATCTTCAATAGTTGTAGTTTGTAAATGTCACAACTCTTTATGATTTAAACATGTTACAACAAATAGGTACACATCTTTTACAATTAACTAAATTATTTCTCTCATTTCGATTTTTTTTTAATTATGCACTACCAACAATATTTAATGATCAGATTTCAATTCATTTCTTTGCTAAATCATTCCCATTGAATATAAACAACTTTCTTCAATTTTCTTCTGACAATAATATTGGTCTAAATGTTTGATTTGAATTTGAAAAATGTATGGATGGTAAATTAGTGTTAGTTTTAATTCATACGGATTTATGTCAAGAAGTGGATATCATTATAAGATCATTCGGACAAAGTAACGATGGGAATAGAAAACAAACAAAAAATCAAGCCATCTCATTCTTATTAATATTTCAGCAGATGAATTAAATAATAAACTGATGTATAGTTCAATTCGTCTATTGGTTGTTTGAATCTTCTCACTGACGTTTGGAACTGTAGTTCACTATTGTTTTGTTGGCATATGTGCATCGTGTGCGGATCGCTTCAATATTCCTTTAAGTCACCAATATATTAAGCAGAGATGTATAGTGGCTAGTAGTGGGATATTGAACGCGAATTTTATCCTGCCGATGTGTCTCAAATAGGATGAAATGTTCGTCCTAGATTCCACTACTAGCCACTATTCAATTCAGTTAATAATAATGTAGTCAAGTAATCAGAATTGAGAGTTAGGTGGATTGGGTGATTTAAGAAACAACACCGGGCAGCAGTGAAGAATACTTTCTACCTGAATATTTAATGAATCTTTTGTATTGATAAGTAATGTGTTTCAGTGTTGCGTTTTTTTGAAAAACTTTTGACCAGTGAATTATAAAAGCTAAATACAATTATTAACTCTGGATTCACATTCAGTATTGAAAATATCCTCATGTAAATAAGCATAATTATTTTAAGCAGCTAAGTTATCAGTAAATATGTTTCACGAAACGGATGCTTATTGTTACTATTTAAAAAGATTATTGAATTTGACAAGTCGACTGCTGAACGAAACATATAGATGGATAAATTACTTTGAAACGGATAAATTCAAATCAAAGTATGAGTGATTATTGTGTATACCTGGGATAGCTTCAAGAAAACGCTTATGTTTATACAGCAGAAATGACATTGAATCAGGATCTCGTTGATCTGGTATACCATCGTTATCATCATCTTCATCGATGTGATCGGGTATTCCATCATTATCACTATCATGTGGCTGACAATCAATGATCCCATCACCATTCGAATCTTCATCATCCACATCTACAAAAGAAAATTAAGATATGTTAAAAACCGATTTATTGGTCAATTAAAAGGAAGTATAAGATGACAAAAAGTGTATAACTTATTTATTTGTCATTCAGTTTTATTACTAACAGCTTACAGAGTCACTATTTTACTATTAACTGGATTAGTTAATGAAAATCTCTCTTTTTGGAGCTATACTTTAATGAGAAGTGCCAGGCTTATTTCTGAAACCAGCAATATTTCATTTGCATACCAGTAGGAATTAACCGGATAGTAAAATAAATAATCATTACCGTAATATTAAGACAGTTAATCGAAATTTCTATGACTGGATATCGGTTCTGCGTCTTATCTATATTTAACCTAAAATAAACATCTTACTCAACTATGGGGTTAACATTCTCATGTTATTTAGAAAATGATCACTATTTTGAGCATTACACAAAAATCAGTATACATAAAAAGATAATATACAAATCTGGCTGGTTTACCAAGAACACATTATGTCTTCCTTAGTTATGTCAAATATTGGCAAACTATTATGACCTATAGATATGACTGTATGAATATTCATCATTTCTACAGTACGGTAATACAAGGATCTAAGATAAATTGATTCAAAGTTTATAGAACCGTTGATCAGACTAATTCAAATGTTAAGTTCAAGTTTTGCATATTATCATTTCTTTCAATGGATTATTTTGTCTAAAAATACATCAAACAAAGTGACTAACCTGGAATACCATCATTATCATCATCATCGTCCCATTCATTCAATATACCATCATTGTCGCTATCCTGTAATGTAATTTTTTAGGGGAAAAATATAGAAGAAAAGTGCATTATATCGATTATTTTTTTCCTACATCCATTTAGTAATAGTTTCACGTTACTGCTAACTAACATTGATTTCAATTCAGCCTTTGGATATTGACAACGGAATAACTTAAGTCCTAACTAATATTTCCACAGTTGCATTAATGAGTCGATCTAAGCTAAGCCACTATTGAAAACCTGGAAGAAATGGAAAGCCGTTTCGTCCTAATATAGAACTTCTCATAAGTAGTCATTCATGATTCCTAATGATCGACACGTGAGTTCAACTCTGAAAATAATACAATCTCCACAAATCTCCATATTGATCTTAACTAATAATTATTACAGAAATCTTACTTGGTGAGCAAGTTGCTAGCTTTCTGAACTCATTATTTTAATAGATAATGGATTAGCACTTGAATCAAAAGAAACCTAGTTGAATTACTATTTTGAACAATAGCATATTAATGCAGGCACATCCGTCTGATAAGTACAGAACCGGGAAAAATTTCTATTACTAGATACAGTCCATATGTTCTAAAACTGCATATGAGGAAACAACTGTGTTAAGGCCATCTTCATATGATGTTAGTATGCGAGTAGAGAAAGATTAAAATATTAACGACAGGATAACTCAACGCCTTATCAATAAACATACAAGATAATCAACTAATATTCAGAACTGAACTTCAGTAACTAACTGTTACTAGAATTAGAGGTTTGTAGAGATTGTTTGCACCACACACTGAATTTATCTTCAATCAGTAAAAATTAAGGATCACTGCACACCTATTTTTTCAAGGTACAAAACTCCTCAGAAATATGTACCCTTGATCCTACCGGAGATTAGATCCAGAATCTTTTGGTTTTGCGCTGTATGTATTCTTCATTCAAACCACTGGTCCAACTAATTATTGATATTCGGTCATCTTTGATATAAACTTACAGTCATGTTTATTTTAATGTTAAATATTATATCTGAATGGTTATGCTTATTTATTTTACAAAAATACCTTTTTGGTAACTCCTTCTTGCATCTCCGAATCTCTGTTCATCAGTTAAAGACTTCCGTCTATTGTTGCTTTTACTGGGACATTAGAACTTGATAGAATTTCATTGACTCATCCAATATATCTGTTACATTATCTTTTATCACAGACAATCTTAAATTATTTTAATTGTTTTCAGTAAGTGTTTCGAAATTCACTGTCTAGTTGTTCCCGCCACCAGTACAGATCAATTTTATGAATTTAAATTGATCGGACTCGTTTTTAAATATTTAGATTGATATCAATTTCGTATGATCAGTTTGGTTCTAAACGTCTCAGTTGTTCTGTAACCTAACTAAGTGATTACACTAGAAACGAGAATTGATGGGAAAAATGCCGATGTTTATGCTTTTAGCAATAAAATCTGACTCCAATGAGAGCTAATTTGACGTTAGTTCGTATCATCAAATGACTAGAACATTGTCGATCTAGTGGTAATCAGTTATGTGAAAGCAGAAGTCGAAATGTGAGATGCTACAAAAAATATACTTCAGACGGACCAAATATACAGAATAAAATAAAAAACTTCAGCATTAATTTTAAAATCTGAAGAGATTGGCCAGAAAGTAATCCGTATTCAGACAAACAAGGCTAGGATTTACAATCAGTAAACATTTAATAAATGTACAAGGGGGTTCGAAATAGGGTTAGTACACATTGAGAAACAATTAACCGTGTGTGTTTGTTGAATCTTTGAGAAGAATTTCCCCGGCGTGATTGTGGATTAGTTATTCGAAAGTAATGCTAATAAAAGGGAACATGAGATCTTGTCATGCTATTCAGAAATAATGCAGTGATGTTTCTTCCTCTTAGATTTCAAATGATTCTTTATGCGGTGACGAGTTACGTCTGAATGCGATTCACAGCCATAAACTATATTGGATTTTGTTCTCATGCTGAAGAGTAGTTATTTGTGTACCATAAAGAAACTAAAACTCATTGAACAAACCTAGATTATGAACATAATGTTATCTTTAGACTCAACCTCTTCATCTGACAGTTTTGTGGTGAATTTTATACTATTGATAATTGTATCAGTAGTTCATGTTGTTATACAAAATATTTCGCCAGTTGAATTTACAATGTATTTGAGGTACTTTCAAAAATAGTTTTAATGTAAAAAAAATGTACAGTTAAAAGCAAACAGAAAGGTAAGAAAAGTTGATTGTATAATGATATGTTGGTATTTCACAAAATATACAACCATGAGCTAGTTTTTTTAAGCATAACATATGGCATTTCCATTAGTATCCCTAATTCTAGACTAAGAAAACCATATCAGTATTATTAATCTAAATGTTAAACTATCCCAGATCAATGAATGGAATAACGGAACAAACTGATTTCGTACAAGTGAAAGACTGTCAGACAATTTTTTTCTTCACACCGTCAGTCATTTCATCTGTGTGCATACATTTTTTCTGCATAAATAAAAGTACACGAGAAAATGTAACTAAGAATACATGTAACATTTTGTTATCCCATTGTGGATTAATAATCAGTATTTTATTCTCTAACTCACATCTTCTTTTGAAAGTTTTTATCTATCTGTCTATTTAAAACAAAGGTGCATAGAGTGTGTTTTTTTCCATTCTAGACTGAAATGCATTGAAAGAAGTGTTATTATACAATTGTGAAATATTGAAGAATGTTTAGATCATTAGTACTGTCTTTCAGAATTTAAATGATATCAAGTATTTTTCAGTTGTTTCATATACATGAAAATAATTATCATAATGCGTCTAGGTATGTCTATTTGGAGATTTATTTTATTGATGGTTATTTTATATACAGTACGTTTGCTCAATTACTGTTCACCTTAACACACGATGTTTTCTGGGGTACGACTAGTGGATTGAAAGGAAGCTATGATCACTCAAACCAAAACTTGATGTCAGTCTATGAAGTTGTTTTTGTTAAAATAATTCATATTGGTAGGTACAAACTAATTAGTTTGGGTTCGTATGATTCTGATAACCGACGGTTATTGATGTTGTTGTAACATGTCCTGGAATCTGTCAGAATGGGAGAAATACGACCAATTCCTATCTTCACTTCAATCTCGATTTATTATATTGCACTACTTATTTCACAAAATCATTGATTATACTTTGACCATATCATTTATTCCTAATCTTTTCTACTTCTATTGACCCTGTTGCTACTTTGGAAGGTGATTTGATAATTTTATTTGTGTGTACGTATATGGTATAGCAAATTGAATTAAGTCGGGTTCTACACTACGTATGAATATATGACTTGTATGCATTACTGACATTATGCAATACCATGAATAATAATTCAATATTGGGTTGTTAACAAAACTTGACTTTAAGTAGTGTTTTCAAAGCATAAAAACAATACATTAAATTCATCGATATGTAAATATATGCATGCAATATGGAATTTATCATTAATACTGATAATCACGTTGTTTGTAATTCCTTGAATTCTTATAGAATTTTAGAAAATTCATTAATTTCCCTTTTTAAAGAAATGTAATTTTACTTACCTGTTTTGTGTCAAAATAACCATCGTTATCATCATCAGGGTCAACAATGTCTGGGATTCCATCACAATCATGATCTTGTTTATGATCAGGTATCCCATCATTATTCATATCATCATCTACACTATCCGGTACCCCATCTTTGTCAATATCTTGAAACAGATCATCCGATCCATCACCATCTGAATCAAAATCCATGCTATCTGGTATACCATCATTATCATCATCCATGTCTAGTGTATCAGGAATACCATCCTATAGAAATTTTAGAAAAAGATGAATTACGAAAGGAAATGGTTTTTGTTTGGTATCTTCTTCTTTTCATTACTAATATGTTTGAAGGCATTCTCGTCATCAATGAATTGTTATAAACTAGGAAGGAATAAATAGCTTTCTCATCCGGCTTTGGAATCCACTGCCAATGTACAAGACCATTTAGTGGTAAAAAAACTCCCAAAATAAATGGTTTTGTAAGCCTTCGAAATCAATGTCGTCCTAATTAGTTTTACTAGATTTATTCTAATCTGAATGCACTCTGTTAGGTAACTATGCTAAACCATGTTTGGATACAAAATATTGAGCATCTCTTATGATAACTACTCAGTCTAGATTGCACATATTTCAATCCACCGACATGGATTTAAATATATACCATCACATCCCTTCACTCTTAACTTCTGGTTTGATTCATTGACGGATACTTGTATAAGAAGAGGTTTTTGCACAATAATGTTGTCAAGCCCTATATACCTGTGATATCTTCAAAAGTTCACTTATATTAGATTCAACTCATCACTTTCAAGTCTTGTAATTAACATGTTACTATATTAGATGAGTGAATAAAAATTTCATTTGCTCATATTTTTAACTCTAATTAGTGATATGATATAAATTGATCTACATTCATATTATATATGAGTCTCCTGTTTAGACTACAAGTTGGTTGACCCCATCGGTTATGGCTTCGCACTAGAATTATGCGAAATTCATTTTAATGCTGGTTACCAGTGACCATATGATCATTATTGATTAAAGTAAGTGAAATATTTTTCTCAATTAGAATGTCAATTTTCATCATTAGTTTATTTATTAAGAGAGAAATAAGAGTGTAACGTTAACGCATAATGTTATTATGTAAGAATAACACGTTATATTCTTTGGTTAAATATAAGAATTGAATTCATTATCTGATGTTAAACAGAATTTCACGTTAGTTATATATGAAATAATATAAAATAGATATCCTTGTATTTAGTATTCATCAATTGTTTCGTCATACATTACCTAATCAATTAATCTAATATGCATAAAACGAAATAATCGATTGAAGACGATCTAATTATTACTGGTATCTGACACTTGGTTATGCAATTTTCAATTCTCTTTAAAAAAACCCTGGTAAGTTTGTGTTGAATTCATCAACGATTCACTCTCATTTTCTGTTATTACTTGCCATCTGTACAACTTGTAATTAATCATTAAAATTGTACAAAATGAAATTACTAAGAGTAGTCTAGTAGTGTGATATGCGGTACTCGTATCAAACAGATATAAGTAGTATATATCGGGAATTCAAAGTGGAATTATACAGACAGAAGAGGAAAATGAAAAGACGAGAAAGGAAAGCAGAAAGTAATCAGATTGACAACACGAATGAAACAAAGACGAAATTTTCAAAGGATAACTTAAGAAAGATCGGCAAACAGTATATATGATGTAAATACAGTGTGAGATAGTAACTCACTGAAGACGATGGTGAATGTGTCGCTCAATTTCGTGAATTGGTTGAAGTTATAAATTAACACCGTTGTATGCCGGCTCAGTGGTCTAGAGGTTAAGTGCTCGCGTGCGAAACCAGTAGGTCCTGGGTTCGAATCTCGCGGGGGGCGACGTCGTGGATGCGCACTGCTGAAGAGTCTCACAATAGGACGAAGCGGCCGTTTAGTGCTTCCCTGTTTTCCATGGTGGTCTAGCTTCAACTGACTCATGATCTTAACCATTGAAATTACTACAATCTTCACAAATGACCCATCTGATATTAATCTTCAAAATCCTATAGTGATAAATCCTCACTGTGATGTTTAAAAATAGTTTACAGCATGAATGGACAACAAGTAAACCACTGAGAACTAAATTTATTTACAAGAACTGATTTCTGCATATTATTAAAAGTTAATTTTAAATAGAAGTCTATTAACAAACTTCCAGTTGAATAATTTATTGGAATGTTCTTAAATATTATTTATTATAGATATGGGAATGTGTTTTCAGGAGGTTCCAGTGACAAATTGTCTATCTTATGCAGTAAAAGATTTTGTGAAAGATAACTGATTAATAATTTCAAAACGATACATAATTTTTTATTCATTTCATACTGCTTATGATACAGATTTCTAGCCTATTGACCCTTAGAAATTGTTATTTTTGTATAGATATTCAAATTATCAAGTTTATTCTAAAAGGATAAATGTTTCATCAACATTTTAGAACAATACCCGGTAAAATGAAAGTAATTCTACCTCAAATTATTTGATTTACATTGCTACATAGTTTAAATATTTTTACTATATGGTTTATCGGTTTGTTAACTAAATAAGAAATAACTTAATAGTGGATGTGCACTGTTGAAGAGTGTCACACCAGGACGAAACGACAGTTCAGCGCTTCTAGGTTTTTCATGGTGGTCTAGCTTCAATTGACTCCTGAACTCAAATAATAAAACACTATAATATCCACAACAACCCCTTTCCGATAACAAATCATATTTACTTAGTTTTAACCAAGTTTAACCAAAAGTATTGTAGGATCAATGCTTATTGGTTGTGTAATTTGTTACTCGGTACAGTCCATTCATGTAATTTAATTTGTAATGGTTTTGATTATCTGGCTGTTGATGTTTTGATCAAATTTTGATCCATTTCAGTTGTAATATATCAATCCTTTGGGGATTTCTTCGATATAGCCATTATATTACAAGTTTACATAGAATAGATAGGATATGACTAGAAATGGAATCCAGGAAGTGTATTTTAACATACTTGAAATTCATTAGATGGATAGACTTGTATATTATACATTAACTTGTAACATAATAATTATGTCGAAACGATCCACATATGGTGTGCATATATCAAATAAGACTGATCAGATTTTGATTAAACTTTCAACAACAGATAATTCAGTGCATTACAAATTAACTTTAAAGTCATATCCGTTGTACACGTGGATGGCCATCTAGATAAAGTAGCTAATTGGATAATGCGTTTGTGTTTGAGCTGAAAGGTACTGAGTTCAAATCCCTAGTGAACATCACCTTCTGGATACAGGTATATCTGGCTAAAGTGTTCTAAATAGACAGCAACACGTAACTTCTACTATACCACCAACCACATTCTATTTATTCTGTATAAAGTTCTTCAGTCATTAAAATCATACCGATTTTGATGCATAACTGTATGACGTTGTATGTAACCAGTAATATAGACAATGTATTTGTCATCCTATTACTAACATACTGCTTCTAAGAAATCTAGTGAATTTTAAATAACTTTCTGAAGCTCCAATCTTAGCTAAAAAAAGAAACTATTAAATCGTTAGTAATTTTATTAATTGTTTGCTACTGCATTGTATATTTTAAAGAGAAACTTCACTTTTAATAATAAAACCTTCCGGTTTAACGAATTTAACATTATCACCATAGTATTACTGTAAGTTTCATCAGTAGTATTTCCAATGTATCTGAACTTCCAGACTTGTGCATTTCATCTTACAAGTAGTGCCTCAACATTAAAGATGTCTTTCAAGATTGGAGATTACCGAACAAATTCATAATACTAACCTTTCTAGTAATATTTGTGATGTATAAATATTTTCTCATTGATAGGTCTTTATATTATTATCTCTAGTCATATGGGTTTGGTAATAATCTATGAGGATCGGTATAGAACTTAATTTTATACTTCTGTCATATTCATACGTTAAAATTATTTAAGAAACCTGGTGCACTTTGAGATGACGATTATTATTGAAAACCAAAACAATCATCACATTTGAGAACATTGCTAATCAATGTAAGAAGAATAAAGAAAATATTTTATATGGAATATACTTTATTTTATTCACTAATTGAAGGCTTATTGAATAGAATTATGTTATTATGGGTGTAAACAAGGTGAAAATAATTTTATTATTGTTTTCTTATGTTTCATTTCAACAAACTTAATGGGGAGTATAAATTTTCATTGTTAAATTGTAATGTCATTATAACATTGTATTGACCAATTGATGCAAAACATGTAAGTGAACGTGGAGTTTTATCATTGGTTTACAATAATTTCAGTTAAGATGGGAACAATGGAAAACAGTTATGTTTAGATAAATGAATATTTTCAAAGTTTAATTCATGAGTCTATCTAAACTAGACCACCATCAAAAACCTAGAATCATTGGATGACCTTTTTAGTTCTAGTATGGGACTCCTCAGTAGTGTTCATCCATTGGGATTCAGTCTGCGTCGGATATGAGAGAGTTATTTGCTTCAGGCAATAGATGAATAGGTGTGCAAGATCGATTGAAGTTAAACATTAACACTGTTGGATGCCGGCTCAGTGGTCTAGAGGTGAAAAGTTCATGCGCGAAACCGAACGTCCTGTTTTCGAGTCATGCTTGCGCGATCGTAGATGCGCACTGCTGAGGACTTCCGTACTAGGACGAAGTTTCCGTCTAGTGCTTACAGGTTTTCAGTAGTGGTCTAGCTTAGATCGACTTATGAATTTAACTTTGAGAATACTACAATCTTCACAAATCCCCATACTTAAAATACAAAAAAGTAAAATTTTTAGGAAAATTACTCTAAAAAAGTTTATATTAATCTTGAATTAAAAGTTAAAGAGTAAGGTTGAATGCTCTGGATAAATATATTTCAAAATAAACTGATCAGTTACAGTGCTCAACAACACCATAGACCTTTAAATATTAACGAAACTATAATAAAAATCATGTACAATATTACAGTGGTGATCGAAAGAGCCAATGGATAATGCACAAGGCTTTTAATGCAGTGGGGGTAGTATTTTTCAGCGTCAGTGTGAATATCAGCACCAGGAACCAGGTGCATTCTTCATCCATGTCCGAAATAATAAAAAAAAAACGCTTTCCAGATTCCACTATTAGCTACTATTCGACTTTGTAATTAACTAGCTCAGAGAGCCTACGTCTCATCAGAAGCTGATCTAGTTCAGTTTTGACTATCGATAATAGGTGAATACAAATACTTACAAACGAGAACTCAATTAAGTTTATTTTAACCGAAGTCAATAAATCCCATGTGCATGTTTTTATTCATCCGTGTGTAATCATGACCTACTGTGAATAGTTACGTTATTTCTCATTTAGTGTACTGAATAAGATGATCTGGATAACTTTATCTGAACTAATAAGCTGCTACCGTTTAGTCAGTCTTTATAAAACAATTGGAAATTTTGGTATCAAACAAAAAGTTACTCATATTTAGCTAGTAAATTTTCATAAATGATGTAAATATGGAATTAAATAAAAGCCTGCCGACAGTGAATCAGAAATTCATGTGATTCTAGCCTTATATCTCAGAAGGTTCCGGTTTCGCATCGATATTTTATTATAACTGGAGAGATCATATTTCCTATGCTTTTCCTGATTGACTGCCTCATCTCTAAACATAATGTTTTGTTTTGTACTCGTCAAGGTTGTCCACCGACTGCATATGCACATATTTTATCAAATAATTTTGTCGTTTTTTAAATATCAACTTGTACAAACTAAGCTCTCATACACCTTATTCACACCTTTTGTTGCGCTGAAAAATATCTTAGTTATTGAAGCATCGCTCCCTAAAGCTACTTGATACAACTAGGCTTAGTTACCATCCATTGTCCGTTAAGTAACGTACTATTTATCGAATGTTATATTATCAACTCAAATAGTAATATAAATATCTATTATTATTGTAAATAACTTACCTTATCCGAATCACGTAAATAATCGAAATTGGGATGATCTGGATCTTGTAAATCCGGTATACCATCATTATCATCATCTGTGTCAATATGGTCAGGAATATGATCACCATCTGAATCCTGTTTAAAATGAATGAATGTAAAAGTTAAAAAAGAAAACAAAATTGTAAATAATTTGTAAAATATTTAAACTTGTATTAATCACTCATTTTCAGTGAGTTAACATGGTTATAATCCAGCTAAACAACAATGTCAGCACATGTTTACCAATAAACAAAATTTAGTACTAATTTAATTAAAAATCTGACAAGTCATTTAAGTGGATAAGATAAAAATGTACCTGCCATAAAGTAATAAAAAAACCCTGACATGAGACAAGTTAAAATAAATTGATAAGTACACGTAGTAGTAAGTAGTAGTAGTAGTAGTAGTAGTAGTAGTAGTAGTAGTAGAAGAAGAAGAAGAAGAAGAAAGAGAAACACAGAAAGAATGTAACTCCACGAATAAAAGCAATTTGAAACCAATAAACTGATTGTTTTTTTATTAGTGAATATTTTCACCATATGGTTGATTTGTTATGGTCACTACAAAATGATCAATTGATGGGGATGTTAGATACCCAGAACTCACTTGGTAAATACCTTGTTTTTGTAATTTTATTTTGCAAATTTGAATTTCTTGTTTTCGCGCCAAAAGCGCTCAGTTTCACCTTCATATCGTATTTTCTACTTGGGAGGATCTTAAACACTATTGGTTCGTTGTATCATTTAATATGCTATTCCCAAAGACAATTTCATGCTGCATATATACGTTTGATTTGTGCCTGCAAATACTGCTTTTACTTCTGGCTACTTGCGGAATGTAATTCTCCATTTCGAACTTGGAATTCTCTCTCTAGTCAGCGGGGCTTGGACGCGTCAGAATAGCTACTTTATTGGTCTTTGGTCACATAGTCATTGTTCCGTTCTCAGATTAGGTGAACTCATAATCGCTTTAAACATAACATCAATAAATTTAAACAAATTGATCTTGCAAGAAGTTAGTTTGAGGACTGAATGATAATTTCTCCGAGTGTTATTCCTATTGCGAACCGATCTATGTAAGACATCCAGTAGTCTATAAATTGAGCGTTTGCGTGCAAGACTGAATATCCCGATTTCTGGATGAGTAATGTTGAGGAGTCTTGCATCAAGAAGAATTAAGTATCTAGTTCCTACTAGAAGTCAATGGGTATCTGACTTTGGCCGGTTCACGATATCGATAACATTATAAACGTATTTGTTCCCAACTGGTTTTAGCCTAATTAGTTTCCTGTTTTGTCTAAAGTGAACATTCTAAACTAGCTATGAGCTAATGAAGATGATAGGAATTTGCATGCAACTTCTGTTAAAAGAGGCTCGCATTATGATTGTTTCACTTGTATCAAGTAACTATACCGTTGACAGCAAAATTAAATGAGCTCCAAATATTAACCGAAATTTCAGTATAAAAATTAATGATCAATGGTACTGAAAATAATCTATATATGTAACCAAATAAATGAATAGATTTATAACTTTTCACTTCACATTAACAGTTCAATCATAGGAGTACAGTGCGATTCAATAAACAAAGGTTTATAGTTTTATGTATCTGACTTGAGTTATATATTATGCACAAGAACCGGTGGTTTTGTATCGTTGCCTAAGAGCGAAGTTAACCAGGTTTCGAAAACTGCTAGCTAATAATCAATGCCCTGAACAACTGATTCAATATGTTACACATTAATATTTAATAATCTTAAAATAATATTTCGTATTTTCCATTATATTAAACTTTAGTTAAAAATCGTAAAAACACTCAATTTCTACAATGAACAGATCCTAGCTAAGAAGTAAATATTTAATGAATGAAATCATGAGTCAATTGAAGCTAGACCACCACTGGACGGCCGTTTCGTCCTAGTATGGGACTTCTCAGCGGTGCGCATCCACGACGCCGCCGCCCCTCGCGAGATTCGAACCCAGGGCATACTGGTTTCGCGCGCGAGCACTTAACCACTAGACCACTGAGCCGGCATCCAACAATGTTAATGTCTAACTTCAACCAATACAAGAAGTTGCGCTACCGTACACCATTGTCTTCAGTGAGCTGATATCTCACAACAGACCTGGTTGAACTCCACTGGTAAACGCTTCTCACTAGAACTCCAGGAGTATCTCTTGAAGTCAGTCACTAGTGAGCAGATGATTATTACCAGAAGGGGGTTGTGGTTCCAGGTTTTTCATGGTGGTCTAGCTTCAATTGACTTATGATTTAAATCTGTGAAATTTCTAAAATCTCCCCAAACCCCTTCCGATAATTTATTGAATGATTAATCATATTTTCATTAACGTTTTACATCTAATTGTGAAAAACGTTGGTCAAAAAGAGGTTCTGTAGAGATTGCAATAGTTTAGTAGTTGAATTCATGAGTCAATTAACCATCTGTCACCATGTTGGCTCAATTTCGTGGATTGATTGAAGTTAGACATTAACACCGTTAAATATCGGCTCAGTGGTCTAGAGGTTAGGCGTTCGCGTGCGAGACCGGGGGTTCTGGTTTCGAACCCCGTGGGCGGAATCATGGATAGACACTGTTGAGTAGTCTCATATTATAATGAAACAATCTTCCAATGCTTCTAGATTCTCTATGGTAGTCTAACTTTAAGTGACTCATGAATTCAACTATTGAAAAACGTTTAATAAACAATTCTAGTTGAAGTGTCATAACACTACAAACTTTATTTATTCATTTTCTTTTTGTATATTGTTCTACTTTCAATATAAAATAAACCTAATTACTGATTGATTGTTTGTTTGTTTGTTTTATTCTTAAATTGACAATACAACGCATTTTCAACTTTTGAAATTGTAAGACACATTTAATAAAAGATTGATTGATCAAAAAAAAGAAAAAAAAGTGTCATGAATCAACATGTCAGCTTTATGTCTATTTGTATAAAAATAAATATGTGTCTATAGTTTGTAGATGAGTCATTTGTTAGCAGATATTACTCACTATAGATTAAGACATTTATATCATGATAGAGAAGGTTTGTAGCTCAGGTGTGGTATGATTTGGATGGAGTTTTGTTCTATGAAATAGATGGTTGAGTCGTGAAGCTTTCATTGTTATTTTGAACAACATTATCAGCACAAACTTCAAGTAGAATTGAAGTGTTCCAATTTCTTCACATATAGCTCACAGCTTGTCCTATTGTTATCGATCTTGATTAGTTATTGTTGACCTTTAACCTATCATTGATTACTTTTTTATTTTGATTGTATCTCTCATTATTGATTTGGTTTTTGGTCCTATATTTGTCCAGAATTGTTTTCTGATTGGTTGATAAATTGGATCGATTTCAATGTGTTTGCTGATTGCTGATTGCCAGGCTTCTAAAATTTTTTTAGCGTTTTTAGGATTGCATTTATCCAAGATCTCAACATTTTCCCAGTCAACTATATGAGCACAATTGTCCACATGCATTGATATAAACGAAGATATGTCATAGTGTTTGACATTTAATTGATGTTTCTATAGGCGAAAATGGAGTCGTCCACTTTGTCTGATGTAGTGTTTTTCTGCTGTTGAAACAATCGATTTTGTAGATGATGTTCAGTTTCCCTTCTTCTGTCATTACATCCCTTAGTTTGCATAGAATTGATTGTACAAGTCAATAATATTTCAGTTAAAGAATTAATAGTCAGTCAGTCAGTCAGTCAGTAACAACGTAGAACTTCGTACGTACGTACATCAGTTCGAGTTGTTACACCACATTAGCACAGAGATGCCGTGGTCGATTCAAATCCCGTAGTGGTAGAGGTAATAAGAGTATAAGCAGTTATCGGAAAGATTAGTGTTTGGAGATGTTACTTAAAGAGTATAATTCAGTGAAATAAATTTGGAAAGAGAAAAAAGAAAAGGACACGAAGAAGTCATAAGATTAGAATTTGGGAGAACACAAAGAGTGGATGCACCTGCGCCATTGCAAACGATTTTGAGCCATGTCATTCAAGGTCTCTAACCATCGGTTTCTATCATCTCGCGGTCCCCAACCAGGTAGTCTACACCTACCGACATGACTCAGTCCACTTGTCAGTGACTTCATGGACTTGTGCCATGTTTTGGTCTGGCCGCCCCTAGCTTTCTTCCAACCTACTCCTATACCACTGAACAACGCACGTCGAAAATTAATAGGTTAACAATTAAAATGAATAATTACACGGAATGTTGATATTAGAAAAGATATGTATTCAAAAAAACTTCTGTTAATCAATATTGTCTTGATTGCTTGCAATATTGTTTTGGTGAACTATTAGTATCAGTACACGATTAGCTTAGATTTTATTGGATAGTACGAGGTTGATTAAAGAATTGATGATATAAAAAAATAAAGAAAATTTATATTAAATAACTGTTTTACATGTTCATGAGAAGATTAAATTATCACCAACTTGTACAATCCAAAATTAAACCTCTATGATACTAAAATAAACATTCGACAATTAGAATATTATGGATAAATTAGTCATTGTCATGTTTTAATGGAACTATCGATATTGGAGTGTGATCTGTGGAATAGTAAAGTAATTTGTTCAAGTGCTTGGCTTTTGAATACAGAGTTCAAAAGTCGCTCTACATCATTCAGAGCAAAGAGTTTATTCCACTAGTTCTAACACAGTTTTTGGTTTAAAACTAAAGAATGACAGTATTATCTAGCTAGCTGACTGAGGTTATAAAATATCATTTAAGTTATCGTGGTTCAGTAGGTTGGTCACACATTACTCATTACAAAAGCTGACAGTGAAATCAAAGATATGCATTATTGAGGTAGTTCGTCTCATTTGAGTATAGTAATTTCAATGAGACATAAATTATAGATGACCGTTGAATAAAACTCAAGTGATCTTGATAAACTTCAACCATTTACTAGGTTTATAATAAAGATCTGAATTAGGGCGAGAAATTAATTTTAAACGTTAGGGTTAGAATTCTTATCACAAATTGATATAGGCTCAAATGCCAGGACGCTATTTAGTTAAGTGAATGTGAATGAATTTCGCTGATCTATATTAAATCTGACTAACTAGTCCGATGGTAAGAATTTGCTGAAGAATCTGAATAAAAAGGTAAATAGAAACTTTACCATAGTATTCTATAGAACAGTTTAAATTATAATTATCTTCATAACAGTAATATCTACAACAGGTTGGCTGAATTTTTTACAATGATATTAGTGTATTAGGTCGAATGAACATAATATCAATTTCATTTATATTTTTATCTGGGCAATTTTGAAAAGACGGATAATGAAATGTGTATGATTAAATTTGACAGCCTAAAGATATGTAGCAACTTTCTAGAATAAGTAGTCGGTGTGTTATGACTTTTGCATTAATAATTATCATGTGGGAAAATCGCAGATCCTAATACCAACTTATATGACATTGTTCTTGTGCTAAACCGATGATGCGTTAACCAGCACGAGCAACATAGAGTAGTCAATTTTGAATCGCTATTGGTCCTTCTCGCCTAGCCCTGCCCGTTGAGTCCAAAAAACAATCTCAGCCTTCACTGTGTGAATCACGTATTTCAGACATACATGGTCTATATACAAGTAAATCAGACCTCATCATACCATAAAATAGAAAATAAAAAGTATACAAGATCAAGCCAAAGGTGGCTGTCAGTATAAGAGACTGTAACTAATCGATTGGGAATAAGTTAATAATGGTAAATCGTATAATAATAACCAGTAGGTAAAAAGTAAGCTTATGATAACATGAATAAGAATATATGTAATAACAGTCCATAAATAATTCCTAGCATTTACTATCCATTTATTCTTCGTTAGGATAAAATATGGCGATAACAGCCATATCCTTACCCAAATGTTTTAAAATTATTAAACTTATCGTTTTATTAATCATCTGTTCGCTTGAATACATCCAAAACATTTAAAATAACTACAAGTATGGGAATCCTCATTATTGCTCATCCGTGATCCCGCTCGCGGAACTCGGATCTAGAACCTTCGGTTTCACGCGCGAATGCTTAACCTCTAGACCACTGAGCTGATTTTCCATGGTGGCCTAACTTTAATCGACTCATGATCTTAACTACTGAAATTTCTACAATCTCCACAAAACCTCTTCTGATATAATTTATTAGTTTAAAAATTTGTATACAATTGGAAAAACTACCATAAAATAAAACCTTTTACAGTAAATGATTTCAGTTTGATTTTAGAAAAACTACAGAAGGAATAATTGGTTTATTTAACTTTTCTCTCTTTGTATATCAAAACATGAAGTAATAAGGAAGGTTATGTAAGGGCTAAGGTTTACTTCTAAAAGCAGACATCATTTTCAGTAGTGAACACTTATAAATAACATAGAATTGTTTACATACTCATTCTTACCTTAACAATACAATCAGGTATACCATCTCCATTAGAATCAGGATCTTCACTGTCTGGTATTCCATCATTATCATCGTCATCATCGAATTCATTCAGGATACCATCACGATCACTATCCTGAAAATAAAAGTATATTACATGTAAACAAGTAAGGTCATATACAACACAGATGAATCATCATATATTTTATGCTTAAACACTGTTTGATTCATTCATTGATGAAAAATCATATTCACCAGTTTCCAACAAGTTTTGACTATTTCAATTGAATCCATTAAACACATAGTTGAATTAATTAATTGTGAATAACTGAAATATCTTATTTTATACCAGTTACCTAGTAACATCATAAATACACTTAAAAATTATGCTGTATGATTTACAATCGGACATATTATTTGTATAACAATCAAAGTTGTTTCCTTGATGATCACCACTTCGTCCTCCTAACGACGATAATTACTTAGATACATTCGGTATTAATGAATATCTCGAATAGAAGTAACTCGAATAGGACGTTTAGAGTGATTTAATACTTTGAATTGAAGTATTTCTGATACATTACCGATAGACATTTCCCGAAAATAATGAATTGATTGTTTATCCTTTCATGTAATGAGTGGATGCTGGATATTAAAGGATAATTTTCATTGGTGATTTCGTTTCAAGTTGTAACTATCACGCTAATTGCTTTTCCATCTGAGGATTCGGCATGTATTACAACGTCCTTTTCATAGAAGGCATCGATAGATGACTTTAGATGATTAAGGTGAAATCCTCCTCAAAGATTAGGTCCCTATATGCAGTAGTGACCAACTAAATGGGAGGAAAAATGATAGATATTGCAATATTACTCACGAATGGTTATCTTCGAACAAGGCATTTAACCAATTATTTTGAATTTTTCGGTAATAAAAGTATTTCCTGGCACTCTACCATATCTGTGATACCTAGCCTTTAAAATTGCAGGAGAATACTAGATTGATATCGCTTAATCATAGACACCACAGACTATAGCAATGATGAGGTTAGACGAAGGGTAACAGATAAACATGGGAATTAGACTGATGATGTCAGTACATGTATTTTGTGTGCCTGACCACAGCCCACCACGATGGAAATTGATGGCTAGTGTAGAAGCAGGTTGAAAGAAAGATAGAAGCAGCCAAAGCAAAATATGGCATCAGTCATTGGCGTCATCGTCAGTTGGACTGATTCGTGTAGGTAGTTTCAAACGATCTGATTAGGTCCACCAAATTACAGTAACCGGTGGTTGAAGATTTTGGGTAACATAATTCAGAATCATTCACAACTGCGCACGCGCATATGCGCTTTATTATCTCTTAGATTTTTAACTATCCCAGAACTTTTATTATTCCGAGAATCCATATTTTCTTCTCAAATAACATCTTTTATGCCTTATCTTTTCTACTACCACTGACACCGTTACTATTAATATTTATATCGATACATAAATTCACCATGTTCGACGTTGATTATGACTAACTGAATGTTATTCAATTTATCGATATAAATGGCGAAAACAGAGTAATCAATAAAAGCAGAACACACCATTCACATTCGTATGCTGAATGACATTCTTATTGTCACTACTGATGGTCATGGTATTACATGACATAATTTCTAAGGACAATATTGGTTTATGTCATTAGTATGAGGGAAAACAGAATTGATGTACGAAACAATTTTTTTATAAAGATCAGTGTCCGGCACATTTACAGTAACTATATGATTCGTTCAAGATTAAAACCAAATAAGGGAATATTAGAAAGGTTAGAAGAAGGAGGGAAATTATAAGATAATTATGTCAGCTGTGTACAGTTTGGACATCATTTTAGTTTGTAAATCATAGTGTGTGTATAGGAGAGAGAACAATGTTTGAAGTAAAAGGTTTAATACACTGTTGTTGCTAATGTTTTTTGTTATTGATTTTTGTTGAACGAAAAAATGTATTTCTAACTAGATTTTTCATATTTATATGTTTGAATAGACATAAGAATTTAGTCTTGTTTTAGTCAACATGTATCGTCTATATTGCTTTCGAGGTATTTATTTTTCTATCAGAAAACAAGTATACTGTAAAACCCACTTTTTAAACGTAGGTTGTTAGTATTCAATCATGATGATGGAACCACTCAGTGAGTACCATCAAAGTTAGTGGTAGGCAGAAATCCTATGTCGGTTGATGAGACAGTGAAATCTCAATGACTGAAATCACCGTGACATGCGTTGCACATGTTCCAGTGACCTTATATCCTAATATAATTTGTTGGGTAGAAAGTGTGTCGAAATAAACCTGGAAGAACTCTTAAGGAGGCATGTTATCAGTTCATGAAACGAGTGAGTATTAGTCTAGGGTGCATTCGGATTCTCCGTGCCTTAAGCGGGCGATTAAAAATAAACTAGTTGTTAGTAAAGGTCCTAGACAAAGTGGATTCAAAATCTATTACCATATCTTGGATAAAATGTTTGTGTTTTACTATTTATTTATTATATATTCTGATACTGTAAACAGCTTCTCTTTATATATCAAATTTATATTCGTCTTATATTTCTTTGTTAAGTTGCAAGAGTAGATCAACTCGATTGAGTTTCAACTTGAGTTTTGGACGTATGAAATTCTATGTAATCTTACTAGGCTTCACACAATGTTCATTTTATTCTGTTTTGAACCGTATACACCAATCACCTCTGATTCTTACATAGGGTACTTCAGTTACTGACAAATATGCTAAAAATTATATTCTATACATTTCACTACTCTTAATAAGTTTGGTAATTTGAAGAGGTGTAGTTTTAATAAAAAGTCCTAGGTTATTTCATTTACTTGAAGAATGCATGAGACCAAGAAAATTAGAGTTGACAATATTCTGTAGTTTACAAAATTAATCATGTCATATGAACAGCAGTCTTGTTGACAGTTAAGAGTTGATAAAATTTCTGGAAAATTCATAATAGTTTTTCGTCTAACTTCTGTGCGAAAACACTTACTTTTTTTCAAGATTTAAATTTTGTTGGGTTGGCCTTCGAGAAGCAAGACAAGCTTTGGGGGCCTTAAAGGTGTCGAAGAGTTTCTACCCAATCAGGAACTGATGGGATTTTCTAGAATATCAACGCAGCATGCTATGATAGGATGATGGAATAACTTGCCTCTTTGTGGTGTGGTTAATATTGATATAACCAACGCTAATAACTATAGATACATGTATTTTCTGTACATTTTTGATTATTACCCTGCAATTAATTCTGCTTTCTTCCGTCTTTTGATTTACTGTTGTAGGTTTCTATACATTCGAATGCCGTTAGTTGTATACCGTATTCTGTATTAATCAAGTGGAGCACGAAACAAATCTGTATCATTTTACCAATCTAATTAGAGATTTCATGATCAACACACATTCTCGCATAATGGTAAAGTACTAGTCTGTGAAGTCTAATCTTTAAAAAGAAGTATGAACTATTACAAGGATTTAATCAGACTTCTCTTATATATATATATCAAATGATCAATTTTCACTTCAAATGTATTTTTTGTTTGTTTGTCCTAACAGATTAAAGACAGGAGAAGTAATGGACAGATGAACTTTACCGATTTAAACAATTTCACTTTAGCAGAATTGAACATAATCACATTGAACGAAAACGTAACTGTTTTCAAATCGACACACATAACACCATGTATTCTATTCCATGATAATAAATGTATTCCAGTTATCAGAAATATGGGTTTGTGCGTGTGTGTGTGTGTGTATGGGTGTCGTGTGTGATAATTTGTCTCTGGTTCAACAGGAAGAACGTGTACACACAATAATGTATTTCATATTATGCCCAAATGATTATACTAAAAAATTTATAGTTGCTAATCAGGAAAAAAAATAGGAAAGGATTGTGTATATCAATAGATAAATAGCAAATTATCTATCCATTTAGTTCTCTCTCTTTCTAGTTAACTAACTAACCAACTACGTGATGATAGATTAACTAATTCACATAAAATATAAATTAAGTTTTTCTGTTCTTCAGGATAAATAAAACAGTTTAAACAAAAATAGATCTACATCTTAATAGTGTGATTGTAATAGGAGTAACCATAAGATTAATGATAATAGATTTGAATAGATCTAGTTCCTTTTATTTTGTACTTTCATTGTTTAAATTATTTAGTTAATTGAATAAGATATTCATTGTAATGTATCTGTTAAAGATATATATTGGTATCACATTGATAACTATTAGTAAGTGTCACATGTAAAAGATGGTCGTTTCCATTTTCACATTGTTTCGATATTTATTTATTTGAATAAGTGGATGTAATGATATGAAAAATTACACATGAAACATACATATTATATTTGTCAGTATTCATTGATATGTTTTAGGTGAGATTTGTGTATCATACAATAGTCACAGTTGAAATCACTAATCGATCTTAACTAGACCACCATTGAAAACCTGGAAGTACAAGACACCTACTTCAGCCTAGTATAGGATTCCTTAACTGCTGGTGGTCTAACTAAGATCACTTTATGACTTCATCCTATATATTCACTACAATATTCTGTGTGTTCACATCACTTACTAACTAATTGAATTTCTATTAATATACATAATTTTATATGGAATGTTGATTTTTTAAAACATCACAAATTTTGACCAGTAGGTGATGAGAATCCAGTAGGATAAAAGTGTAGTGAACAAGAACACAACTGGGGACAATCGAATGTATATGAACACACAATTATAGAATCTCTTGGTAAAATCTAAGAACCATACAGTTAATCCTTCATTTGAAAAATGCCAATCAATTGTATCAGACTTGATTGTTCCTTCGTTTCCACACTAATTACTTTCTGTTCTCGTTCTCTTCATTTTTCTTAACCTTCTGCCGCCATGCATTTCACTTTCGATTGGTGCTACATACTACTTATATCTATCGACATCAGTAGCACACACTACAAAGCGAACTATCATGTTCTCTTGATTAAGGTATTTTTTAAAATGTTCCTTTTAAATTATTTGCGGTTTCTATTAGCCTTATACAACTTCATTTTAAGTGATCAACATAATCTGAACGTGTAGTGATAATCATGATCAATAAATTTCTGTTTTACTTATATGCTTTCTAGGTTTGAAAGGAAATTTCCTAAATTTAAGCATAAATTTCTTCTGATATGAAAGGTAGAGATTAGCTAAGCAACCAGAAAATAGTGTTAAACAATTATAAACGATGAAGTCATAGAAAAAAGTGATAAGAAATTATCTGTATTAATTCTTATAATTGGGTTATTCTGTTATATTTGGTCTAACTGCTCAAAGATTTTCATTACAGATCGGCCTCATTTGGAATACCATTGAAAGTCAGTTAGTATTGAACAAATCTTTAATCTAAAAAGTGTAGAACACTAGTTGTGTTTATTTAAGATCTTGACAAGGATCTAACAATTAAACCACTTCTTCAGAGAATAAATAATCATTATTTATTCTCTGAAGTAGTGGCTTACATTGAATTACGAAACGTCCGAAAATCTTATTTTGCTATTCATTGGTATATTACAAATATATTAATTTATTTATAATGACCCTAAGTTATATATAAAGAATGAATACTAGTTTCATTTAGTCATTCTAAGTGAATATGAAACGTTACTTTTTTTCAAGATGATCAGTATACTGTTAGATCTGATGATAAACAATTTTATGAATACTTTCTTAGATTTACGTCATAGAAGTGAAATATTTTCAAACATGGACAAAAGAACTATCTACTTCACTCAAATTTTTAATGTTTCTATGTCATTCTAATGAATATGTTTGAGTTGACATGAATTTTTAATTACTGAGCTTATTATTAAAAGCTGATTGTCGAGAAAATATGGGTTTTGCTTAGTAGGTTCATCAGCTGGATCGTAATGTTTATGTTCACAGTGGAACTAAATGATATTTAATCATGTTCATTTATGCGTTAAATATTCTTGGCACATAATGGTCATCTTATTTTTAAAATGACTATTTTTATTGTCTAGTTGTTGTAACTTTTGATATCTGTTCTTTGAGGACTACAAGCCAGTAAATCTATCTCTGTGATAAAACACCACTCAACAGCTGTATTTACATAAATTCAGGTCTAGAATACATATAGACTAATAAAAAATTTCCCTCTGTACAAAAAGCATGTAAACCATAAGTCTCATTAAAACTTACTTGTTTTGAATCGAAATACCCATCGTTATCATCGTCTGGGTCGAGATTATCTGGAATACCATCACAGTCATGATCAAACCAACCACGTTTATTCATTCGTCTGTTTAATTCTTTAGTACTGACACCCTTTAAAACTGAAAATAATGTTTGAATTTGTAAAAATTAAAAGAAGGATATTATTTTTGAGAGGTAATTTACAATATATGTAATAACATTAAATGACGAAGTCATATTTAAAACGAAAAATAGAGTTTAAATTATGACTTCTCACTAGAATTCAGATTTCAGACATTTCAGAAGCACAGCAATTGTTCCGAATGACAAAGATTAATCGTTAGAGCATATCGCAAATTAATTAAAGTTGTAATTATAGCATTAGATTCTGAATCAGTAGTTCTAATGGTTAAGCGCTCCCCATGAGAGCTCAAGGTTTTAAGTTCAGTTTCTGATATGGTCTTGGGTGCCCACTTCTCGGAAGTCCTTTATTAGGGTGAAAGAGCTATCCACTACTTCCTGGTTTAAAATAGTACCTTAGCTGAGATAAATCTGTGACGAATAGAACCTACAAATAATCCAATCATCACAAAAACATTTTATCTAAATTTTCAAAAGTTGCGCTGAAATTTAAAAAGTACTAGACGTGAATTCAAAACTTTCTAATTTATTGCTCCAATATGTTTGGAAGATAACAAGTAAATCAAAAGTAATGAACAATAACAACTCTGTCAAATATACATTTAACAAGAAAGCTTTCAATTAAATGCTGGGAAGTACAAGATAATGTGACATTTGATTGTAATATCTACTACCAAATAAAAAACAAGTCAGAATCGATTACATTTTTGTCATTCAACGTTTCTTGTTGTGGATTGGGTAGCAAAAACTACAATTTCTCTGAGAGATGTGCAGAAATAATCTACAGTATAGTTGTTTAATAAATGGTAGTTAGATTCTTTCCACAGTATATGCATAAAAAGTTGAATCTTTCTAGAAAACTATTTACAACACAAATAAGCTCATTAGTGAAGATATTTTGAAGTTATGTGGTTGGTTTTCTTTATCATATTTAGGCCAAAAGAACTAATTGGGAGTTCATAAATATTTGTAACCTATGAAAAAATGCATTATAAATTACCTATTCAAATCAACTGTTCTTTGGTTGTGAAAATCTCAAAGTCATTTTAACGGCCGCCAAAGTTCATCGTAATAGTTAAACTTAACCTTTCAATTGTTAAGATCATGAGTCGATTGAAGTTAGACCACCATGGAAAACCTAGAAGCACTGGACGGCCGTTTCGGCCTATTGTGGGACCCATCATCAGTGCGCACCCATGAACCCGCCTCGTGGTGTTCGAACCCAGGACCTACTAGTCTCGCGCGCGAGCACTTAACCACTAGACCAATGATATCAGTTCTGTTGATTTCTAATACTATTTTTAAGTCAGCAACTATTAGATAACTGAGAGTACAGTTTTTTTTCTTTGCCAATATCAAAATTCCACCTTAGTGTTTGGTTCATTATTACACATTTTCTTCCAAAAAAATGTCTGTTTTTTTTATTTGAGGAAATATTCTGTTTAAAATTGACTGTCGATTTTTTTTTCTGAAATGTACACATAACAATTGACAAGATAAAAATAAACCATAATCATGGTGTTTTAACTGTCACTATTTTTCCCACTTTTTGATTTCAACCAATCATGATCAATTATTAATTCAAGGTCATTTAGTGAAATATGCTAAGTGCTTACATGTATTTGCAACTTCTATTCATCTATTATATCAATATATAAAAAATGTAGGATGTGTTCTACTTTCAGTACTAAACTAGGGTATGAATTGTATATATATATATATATATATATATATATATATATATATATATATATATATATATATATATATATGGGTATGTGTATTCAAGTGTAGTTGTGTGTTATTGCATCAACATTATACTACACTATAAGTGCAAAAGAATGATATTTATGCATATGAACTAAAGTTTATTTTCCTCTTATCCCATATGAAATATAACTTTATCGATCATCATTTATGTAAACCGTATATGAAAAAAAGGATAATCAAAAACAGTAAAACTAACAATAAGGTTAAAACCAAAAACCTAATTATCTACACAACTACCCATTGTAACTAGTTAAATTTTTCAGTAAAGTATGGTAGTGACTAGAAGTAGGATTCAAGATATGCGTCCAATTTTATATGGAACTTGTCAATTAGATGTACTTGTTCACTAGTGTTTATGTTTACAAAGTGACTGAAACCCAGAGTTGTATGCCTCATACACCTAACGTGTAATTCGCATAGTTACTAAGACCTACTGAATCGTGTAAGGAGGATGAATTGTAATTCATTTGTAACGGTAGTTAGATGTGAATGATAAACGTAAAACATATTTACTTTAATGTTAGACTCATTCCTTCCAGAAGCTGAACTCGACAAAGACCCAGAATATTATAATGATATATTCATTTCATAGTGTAGACCATTGTTTCGGTATTTAACTTCGTTATTTCTAATAAAAATTTATCCTTATTACCATGTACCTAAATAATTCTCGCTATTTGAATAACAATCAGTAATTTTTACATTAACCTCTTAATTTTATCACTCGAAATGTTGAAGATTGAGAATATGGTACCGTATTAAATGTGACAAAATGAATCACCTGACTAATTGGAGCCTACTAAATTGACAGTAACGAGCTTAGTATAGCATTATATAATTCACAATGCCGTTGTATATTCATTTAATTGTACACTACACTCCTTGATCTCAATACTAGTCGACTAAGTAGACCTTTTTTCAATTTAAAAACAACAATGATTTGTATTGGGAAGTCTTTTCAAGTTAATTTATTACAATTCAAATTGTTTAAAGATGACAAAAAGTTTATTTATTCATATTTTGAACTGAATTAATCCATTAATTTCCTTGTTCACAGTTTAGTACAGCTTGATAAACTTGGTCATGAATCCTCCATATCGGTTAATGCATTAATCCTATGAGAATTTATTCAATATCTATGGTTGAATTTACTTTCTCAGCTATGGTTTTATGACCAAAAGCACTTGATTTTCAATCAGTGAGTTAAATATTGTAATCCTTGCTCCGTCAAATTGGTTAGGCATTAATAACCTTCGCCAGATTAAAATGTGAGCCAAAGCTGTGTAGCCTTAGTAAACAGATTTGCATAAAATCGACTAATTTCGAATCCCGTATTTAAAAATTATTATGAACATTAATGTTGTCTAATTTACAATTGTTTTATAGCAAGTTTAATGAGTATGATAAAGATTGTGTCAGTGATTCGTTTAATTCAAGATTATGTAACGGTGGAATAAGATTTTATTAGAATACTAGCTCATTGTTCATTAAAATTCCACATAATAATATTTTAAATAATCAACACATTTCACTTACAATCAGCACGAGTAAGTCCTAAAAAATCAGGAATTTGATCTTTGTCCTCATCTTCCATAATATCTGGAATACCATCGTTATCATCATCTCCGTCAACATCATCTGGAACACCGTCGAAATCGCTATCAACCTTACGCATTTTCTTCTTATATCTTACTTTTAGTTTTAAGTCAGAAACATCAGAACGGCAGTCTGGTATTCCATCACCATTAGCATCTTCATCTTCAATATCAGGGATACCTTTAGTGAAGGAAGTAAACAGTAAAATGTATTAAATCCAAGAGATTTTTAGGACGATAAGAAAATATTAAGTTGACTTTTAAAAGTCGGATGTTTTGATCACGCATTCATCAATTTCTCAACGGTATATTAATAAAAAATCAGGATTAGAAAGACAGAAATTGTTTAAGAATTTAATAAAAAACGGCAAACACTTTCATACCATCATTATCATCGTCTTCATCAACATGATTCAATAATCCATCCCAATCGGAATCTTGTGTTCGGTCCAAAAGACCGTCATTATCAATATCTTCATCAATATCATCTGGTATACCATCACAGTCATGATCGTTTATATTTCCAATAATTCGTACTGGTTTCGATTTTTGTGTAGATGGTTTAGGGTTTTTATTTGTTGGGACTGGTGTTTTTAATTTATCATGTGACGGAACAGTTTTATGCGCTGCCTTCTTTGAGTGATGATCTTCTGCATGCTTTGATGTTGCTAATGTGGATGATTTTAACTTGTCTGGTTGATTTTGTTGATGATGAGTAGAAGAAGGTTTGTCCTTGGGTTGTTTTGTTCTAGAACTTTCTGATAATTTGGATGATGGTGTTTTAGAAATGGTCTTTACATTTGTTGCTGTTTTTGATGGAACTTTCTTATTCTTTGTATGTCCAGTAGCCGTTTCTGAGTGAGATTTCGATTTAGATGAAGTAGTAGGAGTTGTTGTTTTAACTGCCATTAATTTCCTTACACCTGGATTCAAATTACACAGAAAATTAGCATAAAAACTATCATGGTTTATAAAAATGTTTAACTTTTTGTTTAATTGTAATGAGCAGTTTAATTATACCAAAGATGTAATAACTAAATCATTTGAATCTATATCAGAGAAATATGATATTTAGGAAATATAGTTAAATAAACGCATACAAATGAACAAAATGTAAGGATAGTATGTCCTTTAATTTAACCATTATAGTTGGATATTGACAAGTTTTCGAATCCTGGACAAGGATTCTGTTCTGTTTGTGATATCTAGATGTGCATGCCTTTTAATACTAATGTTCACAAGTGGACGAGTCTCAAAAATGAATAAACACCCGTCATTGATTTCGCTGATAGCTTCTACTTACCCTTACTAAAATATTTGGGAAAATATCTGGGAATATCGAGATAATTGACTTTGGATGCATATGTGTCAAAAGTGACTAGCCAATTTCAATCGTTAATATCGACGACAGAATATAAACACCTATAAATTCAATACTTTCTTTTAATGATCATGAATACTGAGAAATGTAATTAGTAGATGAAGAAAGACATGTTTTCACACAACGTCATGGAGAATTTTATTGGTTGAAGAAGGGATCAAGATCAATAGATAGAATACTTTGACATTAAGCACTACATTTAGCTTCGGATACATTATTTGAAAGGAATTGGTAAGTAGTATTCTGGTAAACATTATTCCTTTACAGTAAATATAGAATTATAAGGCCCAAAATTTGAATAGGGATCATCTCAATGCACTTTTAAAGTTTCCAATTAAAATTTATTCTAAGTGTTCAATACAAAATTAAATTATCCATAATTAAATAGATTTCTTTATCATATTGCTATTTTATGGAGTTGAAACATATGTCAAGCGGTGGGTTCTTTAAATTATTAAAATTAATGGCATTATATTATCTGTTAAACATTAAATGGAATAACAACTGTAAGGAGCTGGCAAGGATTGCCCAGGACAGGGTTGGATGGAGAAGGCTGATGAGCAGCCTATGCTCCTTCACGAGGAGTAACAAGCGTAAGTAAGTAGGTAAACATCAAATGACATGAATAAATCAAAATTATATATATATGGGGAAGAAAAATGATCAGTACCTTTGATATATTTCTATGATAAGAATGTGTTTGGTTAGATTAACTAAATTAGTTATATACCTATACATATATGCAAATATAAATACATTCTTGGTTTGCACTCACTAGACTAAAAATTACATATCCATCTAAATATCAATGTAATACAGTATTAAATAATCAAACTATGTAATGGAAAATGTCATATTCGGTTAAACATTATCAATACTAAGGTAGAAATAAAGAACTATTTAGAGATTTCTATGCGAAAGTATTCTAAACAGGCAAGAAAAAGTTATTATGAAATCTTGTTTCTATCAATCAGAATCTCACTATATACTTTTAGCTAATTTGATGAAATCTTGTTTTCAAAAAAGAAAAATGAACAACGTTTTAAAGCATCTGTAATAAATAAGGTAATCTAATTGTTATAATTCACCAGCATGCATCCCATTATATGTTGAATTCACAATCCTTTGTTTGTAAAACATTGATAATTGGAAAATTTTATGTACAATTGTGTACATGTTTAATTGTTTGCTTGAGTACTTGTTAGTAAGTGAGCGTTTAGAATGAGAAGATTAGTGATAATCAACGTGCACATATATGTTAGATGAATTTGGAAGGAAACTAGGATATATCTACTACAACTATCATCAGTACTATTATCATTCCATATTCCACATTTTGACTAAGCTTACCAGGCCAATTAGGATTTAATTCTTCATCAGCCTCTATCCAATCACTGTAATCAGGATCATCAACATCTTCATAACCTTCTTCAGGTGATATTTCCAAATCTAAATCTTCTGGTTGATCATCTTCACTTTCTTCTTCAATATCATTATCTGGACCAAAATCATCAGTTTCATCATATTCATCATCTTCAAATTGATCAACTTTTGTTTTTATATTTTTATGCTGGTCGATTTTAAAATCTTTTCCTTTAGATGTATCATCATTTGATTGACTGTTTACATCATGATTATCATTTTCATTATCGTCACCAACTTCATCAGTATCATCATCATTATCATTATTATCATTGCTGTCATCGTAATCATAGTCTTCAACATCGTCATTACTCAGCTTCTTATTCGTATTCTCATTTATTGATGGTTGACCCTCTTGAATAGATTTTTTGCAGCCTGGTTTTAGTACTTTAGTGGTGTCATGTTTGTCATTATCATCGCTGTAATTATCTGCAAACTTTTCATCCTCATCAACTTGATCATCATCAATATCATCTTCATAATCTTTATTTCCACTACCATCATCATCATCATCATCATCATTGCTATCATCATTATCGTCTTCATCAATATCGTCTAGTTCATCGGTAGTTTGTACTTCTGTAATCTTTTCACTTTTTGGTTCATTATGTTTTACAAGATTATCTTTACTTATTTGCAGTTTTTCATTCAAAGCTTTAACATCAGCTTTTAATTTGTTTTTATGTATTTCAGGTATATTTTTTAGATTAGGAAGTTGTTTTTTATTTTCACTATGAACAAGTTTGTTTTCTGTCGTTGATTCCTTTACTTGATCTTCATCTTCTTCTTCTATACTATCATCATCTTCTAAATTAGGGATATGTCTTAAATCTAATTTTTTTCCATGCCTAGAAGCGCATAATGACAAACACTCATTATAGTCAGTATTGTTGTCGACATCACCATTATCATCATTATCTTTAGACTCTTCTAATTTACGCATATGTCTAAATGTTGATTTAATCTTTGACTCAGAAATTTTCTCACCTAGATAATTCCCGAAATCGTCATCCTTATCTTCCCCATCATAATCATCGTCATCATTACCAGAATCATTGATCATTCCTGTTGTTTCAGATTCATTGTAATCATCTTCATCTTGGTCATCATTTTCATTGTTATCAATTTGATCCACTTTAGAATTTCTGTCAGTTTGATGACTATGAACTCGTGAACTACATCCTAAAAGTCGACGACATGTTGGACAATCTGATGTTGTCTGTGGAGCAAAAAGATAAAAAAATTTATTTCAAGAATTGTTCAAAAAACAATTAATTGAATCAAAATATGGTTTACTGAGTTATTGAAACTTGAAGTATCACCTGTTATTAACTGAAAAACTATTAAGAATCAAGGATTAATTATTTTGTTTGCATTCGATAATTTAAAGAATTGCTCACCCTTCTCTCCCTCTTTGATGTCAAATGCAAGAGTACTCATTTTTTAATGCTCGATATTTTGTTGACCTGGTATGAAGTTGAAATTCCATGAACGGTATCTACTCAATCTGCAACACACAACCTACGTATTAAATCTATCCCCACAAAAATCTTTCAATGAAAAAATAACAGTTAGCTCACCAGTGACTTGTTTCAAGATGACAAACCACACATGAACAATCGAAATGAAAATGGACTAAGAGTACTGTCATAAATGAGGAGATATCATCATATCACTTAAATAAGTCATCGATTATTTAGATTTATTAACCCAGGGGAGAATGCATTAGTCTTTAGAATCAAAGTTAATGGGTTCGAGTACCAATCTGAAAATAATTACTATAGTTCAGAGAATTCAGTTAACAAGTCCCGAATAGGACGAAAGGTACATCTTGAATTTCACTGTTAGCTACAATCTATTTATATTATGGGATTAGTTTATTGTTGACAAATTTGTTCATCATTTTGGATGAATTTATTAAGCTGAATTTTTAAAGAAACTTAATTGTTCCCTTTAAAATCAATAAAATTTTAATGATAAAATAATCTTACAAATATCTAAACTTTACATGAGAACTTTTAAGGGATTTAGATAAATCTAGTTAATTAGATACTTTTAAACGAACGAAATTCTAACCTATATTTTTCCAATACAAGTATATAAGAAAACTGAACACAACTAGTGATAATAACGATCGTCACAAATTTGAATCATTTGTGAAGACTTAATAATCTTGGGTTTGTATAAATAAGCTTGGTCAAACCTAAACAGATTCTTCAAGATGACCATCCAAAACTTTAAAAATCTAGTCAGTGATAATACTACAGAAATAAATAATAAAATTTCAAATCCATTCGGAGAAGTGACTAGATATTCAAGTTTACAAATTTATTTATTTATTTAAACACATAAACATTGGTACAAGGAGACACCAAACAGAAATACGAGACATAAATCATTCGGTTTATGTGAGGGCTGAGATACTGCCCGGGTGCCCAAACCAAAAACAGGTGATTTTCTTTGGGGGGCCACACCCAGAGCCTTCGACCTAAAGGTCTAGTCCACAAGGCAGTAAAGCAACGTCAGAAGACACATTCCCATGGTAGCCGGTGATCAACGATTGGTTCATACGCCATTTGTTGCTTCAGGATACGGAGCCCATATGCACCATTGGTTTGTAATCAGAATTTTCCTACTCCCCCAGGGTGGATCCTCTGTATCCACCAACCCGGTTGAAGTGCTGGGCATTCGATTGTCGTCCTCTTAATTTTGTAAACAACAGCAATGCCACAAGAAACCAGTGAGTATGACTTCCCTGGTAGTGGTTGTATGCACGTGGTCATATGAGAGCGTTTCAAGAGGGATGAATAGCTCTACCCTTTCTCGGCCGTACCAGGGCAACAAGTTTTAAACATGGATGAAGTATTATGAACTTACTACTTCAAATATATATATATATATATATATATATATATATATATATATATATATATATATATATATATATATATATATATATATATATATCAAGTATCATAAATAAGTTGTTAGTAGTCATAATTTCTGTAAAACAAAAAAGTACTTACAACGAAAGTAGGAGTAATACTGTTTTCAAACGATTCAGTAATTTGATTGAATTCCGAAAATTGATTTGTTTTTGTTTTGTTCATTTCCCAATTATTTTCATTGTTATACAAATCAGTAAAACTATGTATCTAGTATGAAAATTAATAATTAAATAAAAATTCAATATGACTATGATTTATTTTACTGTTTTATAACAGAATATAATTAAAATTTGTTATCAGAAGAGGTTTTTGTGGATATTATAATATTTTTAATAGATGAGATCATGAGTCACTTGATGTATACTGTTGAGGAGTCCTACACTACTGTAGGACGAAACGGCCATCCAGTGTTTTCAAGTTTTTCATGATAGTCAAGTTTCAATTGACTCATGATCTCAACTATTAAAATTTATTAGTTCAAATAAATTCATTAATATCTATGTAGATATTTCAAGCTACGTATTTTTGAAGTCAACATTATGACTTTAAAGTAAATAAGTTATAAATAAATTTATCCTTAGTAGTGAATGAAAACCTTTTTTGGAAACTAAATGATTCACCTAAACAGTTTTCTGTTTTAGGAAATCTGTTTCCGTACTATTTATATGAGATCGGATTATAAACACTAGAAAGTTAATTGACTAATATAGAAACAGATAGGTTGTAAGATTGATCTAAATTGATCTAAGGAATCAACTTCTAATATTCTCTTATTGTAATTTAATCTTAACATAAGTATGAATAAAATAACTTATATTTTAGAAATGTATATACTGGTAACGATTGAAGGAATCAGGATGGTCATCAGATACGAGAAAGCAGCAGGACCTGACAATGCAACACTGCGGATCATCGTCGAACAATCAGTTGAGTGGAACTCGTCACTATACATCAACTTCATTGATTATGAAAAAGCATTTGACAGTATAGATAGGAGAACATTATGGAAACTTCTTCGACACTATGGAGTTCCCGAGAAGATTGTCAACATTATCCGGAACTCATACGACAGACTACAGTGAAAGGTCGTGCATGGAGGACAGCTGACAAACGCATTCCAAGTAAGGACCAGAGTCAGACAAGGCTGTCTACTCTCTCCCTTCCTCTTTCTTCTGGTGGCCGACTGGATTATGAAAACCTCGGCATCTGACTGGGAGCGCGGAACATGATATACAACTCAGAATCAATCAGAATATTTGTTCTTCGAAGATGACCTGGCACATCTATCCCATACATGCGAGAAAATACATGTCACGATAAGCACAAGGGAGAAAGCAACATCTTCAAACACAACTCAGAGAACACAAACGCAATCGCACTTGGTGGAAAAACTGTAGAAGAGGTGGAAAGTTTCACTTGTCTGGGAAGCCTCATCGATGAACGAGGAGGATCTGATACAGATGTAAAGGCGAGGATTAGCAAAGTATGGGCAGTGTTCCTACAGTTGAAGAACATATGGAACTCAAAACAACTTTCAACCAATATCAAAGTCAGAGTCTTCAATACGAATGTCATAACCGTTCTACTGTATGAAGCTGAAACTTGGAAAACCACCACAGTCATCATCAAAAAGGTAAAGGCATTTCTAAACAGTTTTCTACTCAAGATACTCAATGTCCGTTGACTGGATATCATCAGCAACTACCTGCTGCAGGAGGTAACAAACCAACTTCCAGCTACAGCGAAAATTAGGAAAAGACGTTGTAAGTGGATAGGAAATACATTGAAAAAATCATCAAACTGAATCACCAGGCATACACTAACTTGGGATCCTGACGAGAAACGGGAAAGTGGAAGGCCAAAGAACACACCGCCTCGGGAATCGGAGGCAGACACTAAAGGGTTATTAGCAACTGGAAACCAATGGAAATAATTTTCCAAGACGGAGTTGGATGAAGAATGCTGGTGAGCGGCCTATGCTCCTCTACGAGGGTTAACAGGCGTAAGTATTAATTGGTATCATCCTTCTGGATCAGGTGCAGATTTTGTACAAACAAGGTCTATTTACTATAAATACTCTTGAGATTACTATTTTCACAGTACCATATATATTTAGGAGATATATTCACTTGGAGAAATACAGCTTATTCTTAATGCATCTTACATAGTAATTAACTAGGGCTTTTTTGACACAAAGCCTTCGTGATTGTCACTACTCTTTAGAACATCATATTTGTTGTTTGAGTAATTGATGAATTACCAAACACACGAAACATAATACTACAACCATAATAATATATTCTGTTATCATTTATATCAATTGGTTATAATGATACCTAGCTATCTAACGTTCAAAAGTAAACTGCGAATTATAGCCTACAACCACCTAGTTTAACTTAAAATCAAGCGCCAAATTCAATAAACCATGACTCATAAAGAATATTCTATCTGATATCAATATTACTGTGACAACTGAAGATAATTTTCATGTTATATAGAAACCAAATTGTGCACTTCTATATCTTCCTAATATTCTTTGGTATTAACACTCAAAGTAACTGATTGACTAAAACTATTCAGTTTGCATTGAATCAGATAGTTAACCTAAATCATTTCGAATAAATTAATAATGATGTAAGCATTAAACAACTGAACTAGTCATTTAATATTTAAATGGTCTACCTCATGATTACTTCATATCAGTTCATCGTATATACGTTCAAAGTTCATTAACGGCTACAGCATAAAAATTCAAACTACGACAAACTGCAATTAAATTCGATTTAGTAAGCAAAGAAGTTAACATTCTCATGCAAAAATATAATCATATTAAAAATAAAGAAACAAATAAATGCATACCATTCAAACGCATTCATTGACTAACACATTTTACTTACAAACTAAAGTCATTTCTATGTATAATGGTTCATTCGTTTTGTTAATGTTTAAAGTCATATTCAGTAGTACAAGTCGACTGTTTGTGTAGTGGGTATGTACATATGAAAAGGTTAACAGTTAAGAAGATGATTATCAGGATAGGGCTGTGTAGACAGTTAATTAATATTGAGATCAAGAATCTATCTAGATTAAACCACTATCAAAAACATGAAAGTATTGAATAACTGCTTCTTTCTAATATGAAACTCATCAGTAGTAAGAATCCCTGATCAAAAAGTTGGGAATCAAATCCACGACCATCGATCTTGTCAATATGTTAAACAACAACCGCTTGATTCTATTTAAATTTCAAATATTTCATTAGATGATCTTAATGGATGAGATAATAGGTGTCCTTTAGATTAGATAAATAAACGACCAAACATTTTCACTGTTTAACAATTTCTAATTGGATATTTCCATGAACTTGATATATTGTTTCTCGAAGTTCCCATGTTACATTTAAAATATTAGTAAACTTACTTAACAGAAAAAAAATCAGAATGGGTTTTGTAGAGATTTTTAGAAATTTCACTAGTTGAAATCACCATGGAAAACCTGGAAGCACTGGACGGCCGTTTCGTCCCAGTATGGGACTCCTCAGCAGTGCGCAACCACGACGTCGCCCCCTGCGAGATTCGAACCCAGGACCTATCAGTTTCGCGCCAGGCGTTTAACCAATTAGACCACTGAACCGGCATCCAACGGTGTTAATGTCTAACTTCAACCAATCCACTAAGTTGCGCCACCGTACACCATTGTCTTCAGTGAGTTCCTATCTCCCAACAGACCTGGTTGAACTTCACTGGTAACGACTTCTCACCAGAACTATTATTAAATTTAACAATGCGAGTATCAAAATATCCATTACATCCAAACGATATCCTATCAAAATTCAAAACTACTTAATTTGAATATTGATGTATTCGTAATGATGAAAATACAGTTGAATGAAACTATCAATAATAAATAAGCATTATATTTCGGTAATGAAGTTCAAACTGATTTGATCGGCCATATTAACTAACTTATCTAAATTTAATTACTTTTCTATTTAATCTACGTTCGCTTAAGCACTTTGACAGTAATTTCCTAATTATAAGCATTTTACGTCATAATCTCAAGTTATATGTAACGTTTTCATATTCAGTGTATTATACCCAACACTTTCTGTTCCTTTTTTGTTTATTCACTGAGTGATTATTACGTATTCGGGTGTAATTTTTATTAAAGATTTTACTTCGAGTCCTAACTTTTACGAAACTTGTACGGTTCATTGAGGATTTTGGGCACCATAATACACTTGATATTTCTATGGCAGTCAGTTATTGATAAATGTAGCCTACTTAGTGTATTAGAGATAATGGGATAGAAAAATAATTTTTCTAATATCACATGCAAAGTAAACAGAACTTTCAGTTTGAAACTACCGTTACTCAAAGGTTAAAGTGACATTCGAAATTGTTTTACTGAAAAAATCCCTATTTTGTTTTTGACTCAGTCCCACAAACACAGCACTTCATTAAATTGTATCAAAAACATCTTGAAAGGATTTGATATCAGCATACACAGAAAAATAAAATTACTCTGTTATTTCATTCTTTTTAACCAAATGTCTAAACGGAACTGGATTTTAGTAAGTAAAGATCATGACAACAAGAAGAAATTGTATTCATCATCCGAGAATGCTAATTTACTATAACTAAGCTACTACACATTGTTAATAAATTGAACCTCTCTAGACTGGTACGACATGACAGTAGCGTTATCATTTATGATTTTAGAAAATAATCAAAATAAAATTTAGAAATTTAAGTGACCAACTGATATTTGAAATAGTAAATGAGTTAAAATAAATCATTTTACCTTCTTGGACAGAATATATTAAGGTAGATATCAACTGGTGGAGGCATTGGTTGGATTTTTATAATTTTAGCTATTACAGGAAAATATTTTATTGAAAAATAGTTATACATTAGTTGACGTTTTACTCATACCTCTTAAAATTAGGAAGGGTTAGTATTTCTTTCATTGTATCCAGACATGATATTAGCTAATGTTAACTTGAAATCTTCAATCAATACTTAAAGCTTCAAATTCTATAGTCTCTAAAATCTGATAGTTTGTTCAAAGCTGATAAATTGGTTATTTTGAATATTTAAAAAAATCCTGATATATTAAACCACCATTGAAAACCTGGAAGCACTGGACGGCCATTTCGTTCTAGTATGAGACTACTCAGAAGTGCGCATCCACGAGTCAGGATGCGG